CATTAGGTTGAGACAACCGTACTCTTAGCCGCTTATTAGGATAATTTACTGCAAATAAACAGTTTCACTCTTTTAAATGTAGAATCAATCGGTAGACATGGCTACACTTCTTGTTAAATACGTGTTTTATGTTAATTCAAATGAACTGTCCTCAAGATTTGACAGAATAGTTCTAAAATATTTGGGTGCCGAGTGAGAAGTAGACATTTGTAAAAATTATATTTGTAAAATCTCAGCGAGTAATTCCAACGTTTCGTTTGGCAATCTGGTCCGAACTTCTTCAGGGAAACCTGTGTTATGTTAATTTTGATTAATTTCCGTGAAGAAGTTCGGACCAGATTGCCGAACGAAACGTTGGAATTACACATTTCAATCTCGCTGAGATTTTACAAATTTAATTTTTTTGACAAATGTTTTATGTTATGTTTTGAGAGTCGTTTTATTTCGTTCCCTGTATTTCTTCTCCTCTTGTTAACGGTTTTCCACTGTTTTGTTTGACTTTACTTTGCTCCAAGGTGATGTGATGTGAGCAATAGTATCTTTTGTAGTTGCCTATAATATCTGTTTTATTTTCTTCAGCGTTTACTTCAGGCTACTCTCTATTCATCGTTAAATGTTTTAAAAAAGCTCCATGTAGTCTGACTGACTGGTTTCAACATAGAACTTTGCACGGATGTACATCAGTTCAAGTTACCACACTCCATGTAGCACACAAAGCAAGAAAAGAGAGTGAAGACAGTTAACAAACAGAAGTGTGAGGGAAAAAGAATAGTGATATGGAAGAACATTGGAGTTTTATTGGCAAATCATAAATACTGAATGCATCTGCGCCTTTGAGAACGATTTTGAGCCATATCACCAATTGCCTCCAGCCATTCGTTTTTATCATCCGGATGACCCCGACCAGTCAGGCAGTCTACACCTCCCTACGTAGCTAGCTTAAACTAACTGTTATGGATTTCATTGAATGATGAAACCACGTGTTGGTTTGACTACCACTATCTCTTTTCCAACTTGATCCATCGTATATCAGCTAACATCGCCCATCGATCGAGGAAGGCGATAGATGATGGCTAGGCATGCCTAACACATGTCCTAACCATCTCAATTGATGTAGCTGCTTCACAACCTGATCGATTGATTTCCCATCCTTACGTAACACTCAACCGATGCCTAAGCTCGATATTGCTCACCTTATTATATCACCTAACATGGGAGATAGAACGGAGGCACCTATGATCAAAAACAGCTAACCTTTTCCTATCTTCCTCTCTTAATGGCCATGTCTCACTTACAGCCACAACGGAGGATAGGGCGAACTGTTGAGCAGTACACGCGTCCTTTGATCGTTAGCCAGTCAGATATCACGTCTACTAAGCCAGAGATAGCGTAGGTTGACATGTGCCAAAGGAGCCTTCTGAATCCCTGCTGAGAATTTGACAGCGATCTACTCGCTGGCACTGGCTGATACAACTCCGCAAATAAGAGAAGTGCTCAACAAGCTCAGTCACCAGCTCACACTCCCTATCTCTTAGCTAGGAGTCAATGTAATCCAATTCTGAAGCATCATCTTACGTTTGCAAAAGGGAGTGAATCGCATGCGAAACATTCGGAGATTTTTTCTCAAGGTGTTCAGAAGACTGCATTTTATCAGTGTCTTGACCTAAGAGCAGGACTTTATCATCCGTATATTTTAAGTCGACGAGATTATTCTCTGGTAACAAGTCGATGTCTGAGTCGCTGAAGTGAGTTAGGGTTAAGTCCATTAGTACATGTGTGATGAATTGAATAGGAATGGGGATAATGGGCATCCCTGACGGACAAAACTGGTTGTCACCACTTCAGATGACATCTCTCTGTAGGCTCTCATCTGAGTTCAGTGAGTGCGTTGATCAGTGGAATGTATTTTCGCGGCATTCCTTTCACAACCAAATGTTGCCACAGTAACTCCCAGTCGATAGCATCGAATGCCGCCTTTAGGTCAAAAAATATGACGTATAGCCATAGTAATACATTTAATTTCATCGACTCAGTCAAAGATAACGTATTTAAAAGATAAATGATTTCACTAGATATCAACTCTCTATTCACGAGCATCCGCTAACCGAAACAATAGGCTTCATTTGTGACTACATCGAAACCAACAACCTAAAAGTCTTCCTTTCCATCAACTACCTGAAGGAACTACTTCTTATATGTACGTCTAATATCCAATTCAAATTCAATGGTGTAGGTGTTGGGTCTCCTCTCGGTCCACTCCTAGCTGACTGCTTCATAGCGAGTTTCTAAAATATCCTCCATCCTTTGATAAGTCAACTGCACTTATACAGGAGATACGTAGATGATACGCTCTTAATTTGTGATGAGAAAGTTAATTTAGAGTATCTCCTCAAAATCTTCAACACAGCACACCCATCAGTAAAATTCACCTTAGAACGTGAATCGAACATGGCATTTCCATTCCTCAACGTACTACTTACCAGACTCTACGATCCAAAGATCGATATATCGCAAGCTAACATGGATGGGATAGTTTGTCAACTTCCAGAGCTTCGTCCAACTGTTGCGAATGCAAAACCTGGTACGTACACTAAGTTCAAGGACTAGAAAAATCTGTTCGGAAGATATGATAGGAAAAGAATCAAATTTAGCACGTGAAACCCTACTAGAGAACAGATATGCACCAAGATTTTTAGACAAAAACATGAAAGAGAAACCTCCGTCGCCTAAAATTACAACTGTCCCTAAGAAAACTCGCTTCAAGAACCTGGAATTGAAAGGTTACATCGCAGCAAAAATTATTAGAAATCGTCTTTCTAAATAGCTGAAGAAGACATTTAAAGCAGCCACTCTCCAGCAGACAGTTAATCCAGTCTAACGTCAAGGTAAATATATCAAGTTGATATGATTATGAGCAATAGTTTATGCTCGAAACGTCATCAGTTAATATTACTGTGCAACACTGTGTGATTTATCAAAATAAAATCTTATCCATAATGGAGTTATTGTCCAGCTTGGTTAGCCAGAGGAGAAAAGAAGAATAGCAGCAGCTCTATCCTCGAACACCTTGTCATGTCCGGACATCAAGCACCTCCGCATTAATGCTTCACATTGCTACACAGAGTCCCTCAATATTGTACAAAGGGACTTCGCGTCCGCCATCTGTACATAGCTGAAGCATTAGCCTTTCAGGATCTGAAACCGGACCGTTGCATTCAAAAGCACTACATACATTCACTCGCCCTACCATGGCTAGAGTAAAGTTCTTACTATAATTTTGTTTCTTTTTATTCTGTAAGTTTACTATTATTATTGTTATTACTGCTATTATTTTATTATTATTCCCATCATCCACATTTTGTTACCACTCTATTAGTGTTTATTGATAACATCGCGTTTTCATACAGATTTTATATAAAAACACTTTATCGTCTTTCCACTAGTTCCTGCCAATTCTACACGAGTTTCAAATGAACTGTCGTCAAGATTTGACAGAATAGTTCTAAAATATTTGGGTGCTGAGTGAGAAGTAGACATTTGTAAAAAATTATATTTGTAAAATCTCAGCGAGTAATTCCAACGTTTCGTTTGGCAATCTGGTCCGAACTTCTTCAGGGAACTAATCGAAATTAACATAACAGAGGTTTATATATAAAAGGAACATCATCTGTTTTAAAAACTTTGTCCAAACATGAGTCATTCAACAAGTATAATAGACAAAATCTTATGAGCTGTGATCAAAATTTGACCTCGGACTTACAAATATTGGTCTACCTTTGTTAAACACTTTAAACAGTGTGTATGTGTGTGTGGGTAAACAGTTGTAAAACATTTCTTAGCGTCTACACGAGTTTATTGATTAGTCATTACTTCACACTTATTACGTTATGCCAACTTCTGCCTCTTCTCTAACTTCCAATTAGTCATCCCTTACATTACATTTTTCGAGGATAAATTTTGTTCAGTTTCTGATTGGTCTAATGACTTTGTTAAATATAATTACGACTGTTCAGCTTTTGAAAAATGAATCGTCGAAAAAAATTTTTCTTCGCTGTTAATGTCTTTTAATATGACAATTGTTGGACACTCATTAGTATGCCTATGTTCCAAAACCTGTCGAAGGGTGAATATAGGGTCGGAACACCCTCTTCCTGGTCTAAAGACTGTCTGGTTCTCTCTTGTTTGTTCCTCCCCAGCACTTCAGATACCGTTTTGGTCAGGCTAATCTCCCTGTCATTGTCACAGGAATACTTGTCTCCCTTCTTATATATCGATTCAATCAAGGACTTTTATCAGCCCGGCAGGACTATCTGTGATTCCCAGACGCTGACTGACACCTTAGTTAACGCAGACGGCAAACTGTCTTCACTGTCCTTAAACACCTCTGGAGTCATTCGATCAGTTTCCCTCTGCTTTGCCTCGTTTCAGACTATTGATAGCTTTTGCAACCTTAGTTAGGGACAGAGGACCTGTGTTTATATGTCATTCAGGGAGGTGTTGGATGCTGGGTAAGTTGAGCATGGCTATAGACCTTTTAAATTGTTCCCTATAGTGTTCTTTCCGACATTCTGGTCGTCTATCCTGGGAGCTAATTATGGTGCTATTTCTCTCAGAGACTGTTTCACTTATCATTTGCCTTTTGCCGTGTGTTTTCCTAATAAGACCAGATAGTTGTCTGGTGTCACCTATTTCTAGTGCCTTTTCCATCGCTTTCGCTTCTGCCACCCATGCCGTCTGCTGCTGATGGAAACCTGTGTATACGTCGTCTTCCTAAAATCTTGCCCAGTAAACGTATAAATTCATGTTTTTATTATAGTAGGGTTTTGTATATCATGGGTAGGATCATTCATTGTTAACTTGCCATCTTTTTGTATTCAACTGCAAGGTTGAATTTTTTAATTAAATGTTCTTTCATTGGATATCTGATTTTTATGAATAATGTTGGTTTGGACTCCCTCATAGTTGAAAATATTTTTCACTGTTTCCTTATTTTGGGCTAGGTAGCGGTCTCATTTGTTGGTCGTTTGAGGTTAGGGGATTCTAGCTATGCTCCTGAAAGTAATCACCCCCTTCGACAATGGTCTTCAGGTTTGATACACTTGGTTGACTCCCTGAATAGTTGTCATGATATATTATCTGGTGCAGCTGATGATAGCTTATTGGCAGCTGGTAGTGCTAATTCACTGATGTCCGTTGACGATGCTGTTCAGTCTGTTTCTCAGTGTCTTCGTGCATCTTGTCGCATACTAAGAAAACCTGGTATAGTCGACAAAGCCGTGCACAAGGAAGTTAAGCCAATAGTTAATTTAACAAAACTTTCAAGTGTGTGTGATGATCTTGTCAAACGCATTCGGAAATTGTCCTCCACAATTATCGTATCTAAGATGTGCTGTGATACGCCAGATAGAGTAAGTTATTTCTTATCTTAAGAACAGCCATATGTAATATGTATGTGAATTACTAACGCTTGTTTAGGTTTTAATACTTATAACTTAAATACATTATATGTTCTTCTGCATATATAATGTTTTCTTTTAACTCACTACACGCTTATTTTTGTATGCCATGTATGTGAAATATGACCAGCACTTTAAGAATTAACATACATTTAGAAAAGTTAACGATTGATGGTATTCAGAGTTAGAGTTACAGTTAAGGATGAATGCTGAATGTGATATAATAGCAGTACAAACATACATAATTTCTTGTTGGACGATTACACTTACTACTATGATGACAACAGCAAACTGCAATTACATTTATCAAGGCAGATAAATACCTAAGTGTAGTTGAAAGGCTTTGTGAAATTAAATTGTTGATATGCTTACTGGTTCTTGAAGTCGCTGTAAGTATGACTGGTGAAAACGTTTTTGATAACGATTTAAAGTGAGTTTTTCAAAATTCCTCTGTCACTAACATCGCAAATCTACTACAAATTACGTGTACCGTGCTAATAGAGAAGAGTAATATGAAGATAACACTACAGAAGATTGATGACTACACATGATATTTTATTGATTACGGTAGTAGGTCACTATGTTTGTATTTATGATACGTTATAGTTTGCATTAACCTACACTGATTAATCCCTGTAGTGCGCAGTTCTCTTCTGTGCTTATGCAGCGTTAGAATGTTAGTGAAATCTCTAATGAACTATTGTGGTGTACTCGGAAGAGAAAGAAAAGGCATTTGTAATCATTTCATCAGTGTTCTTCACATTGTTTTATATTAACATATAAAGAGTAAGATATCCAACTAGTGGAAGAATCTAATCTCGTAGTTTTAACCTTTTTCATAGCTTTTATTCACACATGAACAGTTTTGATAGCTATTGACAGAAATCAAGTAGTGATAAATACATATGGATAATGTTTTCTTCTTACGTCACAGTAGTCAAGTTTTTCATTTCATTTATTTATAAAAGACGATGTGCTTCAAGTTTTTTATCTGTATCTTCTCTACAGCCCGCAATTGCAGGAGGAAGTGTTCGAGGCAGGGCAGCCTACAAACTGATACGCTTATTACTTGTAACAGAATCCGAGCGTCTGCGAAGTAATTCAGTTGAATTCAACAATTCAGCCGCCAGTCCTGTTATACAGAATAATGAATTGCCCAACAAAGACGACTGTTCAACTACACCGTTAAGTCAGCTGTCGAAGTCCGATACACCCACCACAGATGGTCGTACATGCAGATTACTTCAAATGTTCATATCACCGTCTACACCACTCGTGAATAATTTAAAGCCGGTTGTCAGAAATATTCCTTCTCCACAGGATCGAATGAATGATGAGAATTGTTTTGTCCCGATGGTATGTTCCAGTTATGTTTGCACAATGCGCATGCATTTCTAAAAGCCTTATTCGATATTGATTGAAACTTGTAGACTGCCATTATTTAGTTTTTTTTTTTTGGGGGGGGGGGGGGAATGGCCAGTCTCTGTTAACACAGGCTGCTACCTCTGTTTGATGTTGACGTCTTCCCGACAAAAGTCAACACAGACCTTTTATTCCACACTTAACGAGAACTTATCTAACTCAACTGACATTTCCAAATTCTCATTTATGCATTCAAAAAAAAAGCAGATTGAGCGAAGAAATATATTCCTTTTCAATTAGTTCTTCATCATCTGCTGGCTCTACACTAACATATTTTTTTACATAAAAATGTTTTGCCAATCAACTGGTTATTCTAGTTCATCAGTTTTAAGTATAGTGTGGGTGGGTGAAATTAAGTCTAAAGGTCATCAAATAATTAACTAATTTGATGATATTAGATGGTTAGAGGCAATCAGCAGGAAGCCTTGGACCTGGGTTTCGTGCTAGTTGGCACTCGTCAGCAAGGCGTATCTGCAGCCTTGAAGGAACTCATGTCCCTTCCGAGATTCGAACCCGCGTCACCCAGTTCTGCAGTCAGAGACGTAACCACTGAGCTCTTCGGGCTCGCGATTGACTTCCTGTAGGACTGTAGTGGGTATTTTGATTGGACACTAGTAACTAGTGCGATGTGTCTAGTCCTTTCTTTGTTGCAGACTAATAGGTGTTAGTGACAAGATATCTGATTTTTGAAGGAGGAAGAGGTGAAAATTAATTACGGAATTGAAGATAAGTTAATTCTTAGGCGTTAGAAACAAGTTAATATATAATCAAGAAATTTGTAAAATAGCAATGATGACTAAGAAGAATTCATCTGAACAAGCCAAACCTGTGTGTTCAAAAGAAATTTGTACAGCCTCAATGTTTGCCATGGCCAACTATATAACATGTATTAAGTTTTTAAAAGGATGTTTTCCCTCCCCCTGTTACCATCTTTTGACTTTGTTAATTTTTACAATTCTAGTTAATTCTATTAACGTGTTTTTATTTTACGTAACTCTTCTGAGTCATCCTATTTTTCTTAGTCATCATCGCTATTTCTCGATTATGTAATAACCTGTTGCCAACGCCTAAGAGTCAAACTATCTTGAATTGCGTAATTAATTTTCACCCCTCTTTTAAAATTTAGATATCTTGTTACTAACATCTATTAGTCAGTTGTTCTGATAACCTTTAAACTCTAAATTTCACCCACCCACCCTATACTTGAAACTGATGAACCAAAATAACCACTTGATTGGTAAAACATTTTGATGTAACAAACTATATATGAGTGTAGAGCCAGCTGATGATGAAGAACTAATTGAAAAGGAATATATTTCCTCCTCTAGTCTTGTGTTTTTTTTAAAGTGATGTTCACTATTTACCTGAAGTTTCGGGCAAATGTTTAATTTCATGCTAATGTAAGCTCCGGGAAATCTTATGAACCACGTCACACATTGGTGCATACGGTGTACGTTATCGATCTAAACTGTTCAAGTCGTAACCGGGTCATTTACATCATTGTTTCCTCCTGTAGTTGGTGCTGATTAACGTTTTTCTATAATTAATTTTGGAGTTAAATTTAATTTTTTTAAAAATTTTTATTACAGCTTGATGCCACACCGTATTTTCAGTTCAAGTATGGAATTTTCAGCATGGATATCGGTAGCCCAAATTTTGCAGGCCGACCATAGATATCGGGTGTGCGTCGGCAGGGAATCGAACCCCGGACCATGTGCATGGTCGGCGAGAGTCTTAACCACTATGCCACCGACGCTAAAGCTCTGGACATCCGTTATGTGCTTGCTAACGTGCTGTTTAGCTGATTGTTCTGTTTATTAGTCTACCTCAGTGTTTTCCACTAGTCGGTAAATTTCAATTCCTGAGTGGAATAGTAACAAGTTAACATCCATATAGTATGAATAGGAGGCTGTGTGAAATAATACATCCTTTTACTCCGGTCGCTCAGCCATTCTCTCACTCTATACGGTGGAATTGAGACGCACAAATAGTTTGAAATTAATTGATACCAACCTAAATCTAAAAAATTTACCACCTCAACTTTATTTACTTTGATAATCAGCAAATATATAGCTGCATCATACTACCCGAATTACAGAATGCTACACTGGCTGTTTTCAAACTGAGCTTGAAAGCAGACATTCATAATAAAATTGTTTTAAACCGTACCTCAGGTGCACTGGAAGAATACATTCGCCGTTGGCATGTGATGAAACTTTGTCATATGTACATCAACACAGCCATATATTAAAGGTGAATACTCCACTTTTTTTATTTTCCTGGAGAATTATAAAATTGGTTTTTTTACCTATTTTTCACCAATATTCTTTTTCAATATTATATAGCCTAAAAGAATTGTTATGTCGCACTACCAGTCTAATCTAGAATGGGTCAGTAGTCATTGTTCACCATTGGTTACGCATTCTTTTTCTATTGATGAAACAAAGTCACTGCCATGTTGGAATATACAAAATGAAGATTCACAGTCGAACGCATCTTTTACTAAAGAAGACAAGGATTTAAAGTGAGTGTTGCATTGAGTCTCTTTTCTTCCACTTAATAAATACTCAACTGACTGAATGAATTCTCAGCATTGAATCTTGCACAAAAGTGAAACAGTTGTGACGCTTCATAAAAGGATGAAGTACATGTTGAGAAGAAAGAAAGAAATACAACAAACTATAATAGATAGAGATTTACAGGAAAACAATGATTACATTGAGAACGATGAGGATTGAAGAAATCTGAAAGATTGCAATGAGTGAACGCATCTGCACCATCGGGAACTATTTGGAATAGTGTTGCCAGCAGTCTCTGATCGGAAGATTTCAGCATTCCGATTATTCCAATCAGACAGTCTGCATCTCCCTATGCGGCTAGCTCAAATTGACAGTCACTGGCTTCATGTAGTAATGCCATGTTTTAACCTCACCACCTCTAACTCTGTTCCAACTTAATTTTATATCAGCTAGCACTGCTCGACAACGAAATCAATTGTGCGCCACGTGTAACACGTATCCTAGACATTTCAATCGATGCAAAATTCACAACTTTACCAGTTGACTTTCTCTCCTTACTTCACATATGACGTCTAACTTCACTGTTATTGACCGTATTATGCCACCTGACAGAAGAGACCAGAACACAGAGTGAAAGTAGGCGAATAGAGTTTCATGAGATAGTGTCATGATGAATACCTAGTCTTTCTGTCATTCTAAGTTATGCTAATTTTGACTAAGATAATTGTTTACCTACAAAAGAAGTTTGAAATGTTTAGTCAGTCTAGGTAAGCGGACTGCATAGATTATAAGAAGTGTCATTGACTGAAATAACTAATCCTGCTCTTGATCTTGTTGTTCTCAGTTGTTTTGCAACAGTTGACATCGTTTTTTAGTGGCTATACGGGAACGTTTCATAGTCACCTCATTTAATGCAGTTTCACGACCTGAAATATGCTGTTTAGCGTAAATATTTTCATCCTTAAGCTCTCTGCAGATTCTGTGACATTTAGTAGTGTTCAACGAAAGAGCCTTTGGCAACAGAACTTATCTGTTGAACATTAGTTGCAGTAAGAGATAAGGCTACAGATTTGTCTCTCAGCAGATTTAATTCACATCTTCTAACTAACATTGTGGATTGATTTGAAATCTGTAGTTCAGACGTCTGATAGAAATCAAATAATTTCGAGACGTGTTATCTGTCTTGCAAGTCTCCTCTTCTGGAAATAAATTGCTGATGTGCCTTTTTCAGCTATGGGACAATAGTCTGTATCACCTTTGATCATAATCTTTTTCATTATTTCACAATCGTTTACTTTCCATCACTCGATGCACAGAATTGTTGCCGACCAGCGTCTTGGCTGATTTCATCTCTAATTGAGCTTGAAACATGCTGGAATACGTTCACTTTCTGCCAGCCAAAAGCAACTTTTACCGTTTTTACACAACTTTATTATATCTTCAGAATCTTTTACTTAGTACCTCCTTAGACAGAGCTTGAGTTTAGGTGAGTTGTTCAGTTGTACGCTCTTCGTTTATTAACGTGAGGATGTGTTTACGAGGGAATCTTTATCAATATCAACAGTATTTTTGAAGTTGTTTTGTACTTTGTTTAGCGTTAGCAGAATTACTTCAGGCGTTGGTGATTTCAGTATCATGTTCTTACCCAATTAGAAGGAAATATATTCTATTTTCAAATTAGATTTTATGATATTTTTTCGTGTGATATGATGTTTGTTCATCTGTTAGTACTAATTGCTGTTTCAAATTGTCCACTTGACTTCCAGCAGTGGTTATTCTGAACCTGGGACACCAACTAAATTATTCAGAAAACAAAACAGACGATCGAGAGCCTTATTCACGGAAGAAAATTCTGAGAGTGGTAAAGTGGCTGATTATTTAACGCGTGTCTGTTTCGTCTTCAATGACCTTTTACTTATGCCGTGATTATATGTCCACATAATATAGTTTTTGTATTTGCGTTTGTAGGGATTATTTTTTTTGCCTCAGACAGGTTGTTGATTACAAAAATTGTTGGTCAACATCGAATTACTCTAATTTGGTATAATCACTAAATTAATTAGCTTCTCAGCGCACTACTTAGTATATCAGTTTATTCTAACTATGCTGAAGTAAGTTAGTAGAAATTCTATTGATGTAGGAGTATTGGATTCATATCTGATATGGTACATTAACTCAAAGGTGGGGGCAATTCAGTTCATTTATGAATTGGAAAATCAGGAAGGGGAGCTCCCAATGTTAGATTGCAGTGTAAAAAGGAAAGAAGATGGGAAGTTAAACACTAGTGTTTACAGGAAACCCACAAATTCAAACAGATATTTGGACTTCCGGTCATCCCATCCTATTTCAGTAAAAATAGGATTGGTGAAGTGTTTAAGCACAAAAATCAAGTCGTACGAAGGAAAATCTAAGACAGAAAGTTAGGCTTATAAGAGAAGCTTTGAAACTTAATAATTACCCTAATAAATTGATCAGAAAGTATGTGGGGAAATGTGAAAATGAAATAAATAATAATATTAGTGATAGTGATAATAACAATAATAATGATAATTATAATAATAATGATAATAATAATATTAATGACGACACCAGTAATAAGGAATCTAAATCATCAGTAGAACAAGGAACCTCGGAAACCTTTCGCAGAATTCTTAACAAGGCAGGAATAAAGGTGGTTGGCATTCAAACCCACAAACTCAATTGGAAACAAGCTTTGTCCGTTAAAGGATCAATCCTGTAGAGCCTTTAAGACAAAACAATTTAGTTTATCACATACCCTGCAATGATTGTCAGGTGAAATACATAGGTCAAACTAGTAGAACAGGGGCAGTCAGACTAGCTGAACATAAAAACCTAGCAAAATCTAGATTGGTTGACCCGAATAAGATAAGAAATCTGGAGAATAGTTCAGCCATAGATAGCACTACATGCAGTTACACACAACCATACAATAGGATGGGATAGGATGACAGTTTTAAAATCTAATGTCACAGGGTATAGGGAGAGATTGATAACAGAAGCTTTGTTTATCGAATCAACTACAAACACGTGTAATAGGAATGATTCAACACGTATTCCAGATATCTGGAAAAAGCATTGGATTCACCCACCATGATAGTGTGAGTAAAATAATTCGGGAGTGTTTGCTTTCCGAACTAGTCCATCTCAAACACACTGCTCTTTAACCGTGTCACCAGATCTAGAAAGATCTGATGAATAATCTAAACCTTGTTATCTTATGCACACTCAGGCTTCACTTATCTACTTATTTTATTCTCTAACAACGTAGAATTTTAATACTCTTCACTCTTGAACTTAGCCTAAATATCCTGTCACTGTTCAGCAAAGCATACTGAAGTTTGTTGATAGTAAAATTATCACAGGGATAACCGTTTTAACGGGTGAATAGTCCCCGTCGTAAGGCATACTTTTTGTGTACACTTGTAAGTGCATATACGCAAACGAGAGAGAAAGAAATAGGCGATTGTAGAACACTGCACAGAGGTGGAGTGGTGCACACCGTCATAATGCAATAAACTGACTTCGCAGTGTTAATCTGATTAATACATTGACATTTTATTATCTAATAGCCACTTGTATACACATGGTGTTGTTGTTGTACTGGATCTCTTGCCTAAGTGTTGATGGTAATTCCTATCTGTCGAATCCTCGGTGGTTGTAGATAGTTTTCAACTAAGTGACTCAGTGATTAGAAGGTAATCACTGGGACCGATAATTCACAGCCCTACTTAAAGCAGAGATATGAAATTCTGACTAGGTTGTATTTTAATCTCGGTTTCTAAGGGAAACTGTGGCGAAATTTCACCTCCAACCGTGTAAATTACAAATTAATTTGCAAGTTACGAGTTCGATTGTAGTCGGTTAGCTTGCTGGTAAATGTTGACGCAGTATTAATATACTTGTCATCTTATAACTATTTGATTAATGTGTATGAAAATACTATGTATTGTAACTGTTTTAGATTGTTTGTTTGCAGGTTTTTAAAAAAATAAGAATTAATGAAATAAAATAACATCATGTTATCAAGAGGAAGAAATTTTTTTTTATTAACTTTTTTTAAATGTAGATGCTAAAACGGCACAGTGCAACACACTTTTGAACAGTAAGGTGACTTCTAATCAGATAGCGAAAAGCCGAGGTATACAGAATACTAAGAAGTCAACAAATCAGAAGAAACGCTCGAAAACTGTTCTATGCACTGTTTCTTCAAATAAACAGCGATCTCTGTTAGAATTTTTCAAATCATAGATTGAATTTTTTCTAGATTTTATAATGTGATTAAATGCGTCTGTCATTAAGTACCTTCACGGTTGTACTTTTGTTAATGACAATTTTTAATGCTTTGGTGTCTTTCTATCTTGTCATACTTTAATTTTATGTCTTCGATGTATTTGTATTACATCTCACACTGTGTTATCCGTAATTTCCTTCTTGTTTAATCGTTAATATGCATTTATATTAGGAATGTGAATGAAATATGTAAATTTAAAACTACAACAATGAAACGAAATATTTTTGTTATTTTTATGATTATTCGACGAAAAAGTTAGAGTTCTGGTAAGGATCTAATAACCAAACGGTGCGTAGACAATCACAGTAAAATTTATGACCACTAGACAATGAAATAGCGATGAATATAGGCGAAAGTGCTGACCTTTTATAGTGATGTGTCAGGGTGTTCTTTAACGATATAGTTAGTTTACTGCTTCGAAAATTAGTCCCATCCAACCAAGGTTTCCTGTTTATCAACCTTCTTTAGCAATACGTGTATCGAAGCTTTAAAAAATCATATTATTCCTGAGGTTAGAATCTGTGTCAAACACTACCACTGTTGACTAACTTTCAAGTGAGACTAACTTTCCTCCAACTGATTTCAGTGGAAATTCTAACCAGTAAAGTAGGATGTCTTTTGACTTGGATAAACGGCTTAACTGACTTGGATAATGAAGGAAATGGAGATGGGTTGGGGGCATACGTTAAGGAGTCCATCGGGTGAAATCACGCGCCAGGCCCTCAGTCGGAAAGCGAAGAGTAGGCCGTCTGAGGCTGACATGGAAGAATTCCTATGAAGAGAAATCAATGCCTGAGGACGATCGTGGTGCAAGCTAAAAAAAATGCGATCGAAAACCGAATGCAATGAACAGGTACTTCCAAAGTCGTATGTCTCACTCAGAATCCAAGGGATGAGTAGGAATAATGTGAGGATCTGGAAAAATGTAGTACCACGAGTACTCAAAACAGTCCGATTGTATTTTGGACAATTATATTATTTCTTTTAACATAATTTAGTTAGTTGTGTGAAAATACTGTTCGATTACTCGTAATTACACAATCATTAGAAGTTTTACATTCTAAAGCAGAACACAAAAAATGAGTCTCAAAGGAAAAATCAGCTGATCAAAATGAAGCCATAGGTAATCTGTTTTGTCTTAAAAAGGCGGATATTATTTAAGCATAAAATTCAAGTTACATTAATATACTACAACAAACAAGTATTCCCGTAGGTCGCCTCTGCAAATTCTTTAATCCCAGAAGGCTTAAGCATGGATTGGATGAGATTGTAAACATGTAATCAGCCCTTGAGGTTTGATTTCATTCTGACAGATACGATGCACAGTGACAAATAGTGGGAAATGTGTCGTGCGGCGTCTAGCAACTAATATGTTGTAGATCTTACAAATTCGGTAAAAAAAAATAAAGCCAAGTTAAAAATGCATAAAATTTACTCAAAATAATAGGAAAGATCAAAAACTCAGACTATGCCTGTGAACATCAACACCAATGACAGCTTGACACTAAAACTGTCTATTTTTCACTGGATCACGATATTCATGAATGAGTAGCATCATTGGATTTCAGAAGAGTTAATCGCAGTATTAATCATTATAAATATCACTTAAGGACGTTGTACTTGTGACTAGCGCTCCTACAACCAATTTAACGTCATAAAGAAAACAGCTAATTATTACATACCTGGAAGGTACTGGGTTCGAAACCCGGTGAGTGCGCACTGCAGATAAGTCTCAGACTAGGACGAAACAGCTGTCCAGTACTTCCTGGTATTCAATGGCTGTCTAACTATAATATCAAGACTTGAAACAAGTCAAGTCTTAACAAACAAACTCTTGAAGATTTACGAATATATATGCAATGATACTGAGTTGGAGATATTCTCTCAGTGGATTTTTGTTTGAAGCAGAGCATTCAACAGAATTCTAGTTAACAATTTAAACCGAAGAGGTTGCTGCATTGACAGCTGTTAACTGCGAAAAGCTGATTAAAATAGTTTGCACTGTCAACGTTTTTTCAATTATCCTTTTACATTTTATGCGCCACTGGGAAGCAGGCAGTTGGCGAAAGAAGTAAATATTCTCATGCGAATACAAAGTGTTTAGTCTTCTCATAGTTGCTTATATAAATAAAAACGTATGGAATTATATATAGTAAGGAGTTCCGCTCAGTGAAGAAATAATTATTTATTTCTCTTTATAGTTACATTATTATGGAAATAATGCTTACACTAGGATCAATTGAATCCTTAATTTCATTTGCACCGTTCTACATAATTATCTGAGGAACTCTTACAAGAGTACAACGTACACTGTTAAGGTAGTGCCTTAAATATTGTGACCAATCTGTTTCACAATAGTTTCTTAGCTAGTCTTGTTCAGCGCTTCGGGTTTTAAAAAATGTATGCAGTTAATTACCTCAACAATTTACAAACTAATGCAGTTTTGCATATTCAATTCATGGAGACGGTTGTTAGCTAGCGGATTTCTGTAGTAATGCAGAGTAAACTGAAATATTCATTTTGAAGATAATATTCTTGCAAACAGCCCATCATGTGAAACTTATTTTTAGAACAGTTTCTAAATACAGCAGAAGAAACCTGAATTTTTTCCCCTGAAAATGACTCATCCTACCCCCATGTTTTTCTCTGGTTACGAAACCTATTACTTTTTATACCCACTCTAGTTAAACCTTATTTCTACCCACAAAACATCTGTTGAACTCTGCCTTTTTGTCTCCAAGCTTAGTCATGCAATTCTTCTATCAGTAGACCATCCCCTTCTCTCCTAATTATTTAACAACTTACATCATTCCTGACCAACGTTACTCTTAGTTCCAATCGATTACTCCTTATCATTGTAAAAATGTATGCTCATATGTTTAATTTATAATGTCAGTATTAAGAAAAAGACGTAAACAGAGAAGAAAATTTTCTTCTCGACGATCCATTTTCACCAGCTGTACAATCATAACGTTCAGAAAAATGTGTTGATTTTTTTCTTAAACATTCTGGGATTATTTTAAATAATTTATAATGATTCAGTCTGACTCAGCACTCAAATTACTCCAGGAAATTCGTGAAATCTATGGTCTGGAAACGTATAATCGTCATTATATTTAACAAAGAAATCATTAGACCAATCAGATACTGCTCAAATTTATCCTCGAAAAATGGATTACGTAATTTGAGGTGTAACCCAGAAGGGATGACTAACTGGAATTTAGAAAAGAGGCAGAAGTTGGCATGACGTAATAAGTGTGAGGCAATGACTAATTAATAAGCTCGTGTAGAATGGACAAGAACTAGTGAAAAACGCATTGTTATTAATAAACAGTAAATAATAATGACGATAAAATAAAAGTTGTTATAACAATAATACAATTGCGATTTTACAGCTTATGAAAATGAATCGTCGAAAAAAATTGTCTTCGCTGTTTGCGTCTTTTTCTTATGACTCGATATGGGAATACTTCGTTCATTGAAGAATGTTAGTATTGTTCAGGTAGTAACCAGTTAAGAAGAATCCACGAAATTATAAAAAAATGAGCTTAGATTATCCTGGTACATTTGTCGTTCTTGCCTTATTCAAATTTATTAATGGGAAGAATTGTATGATGCGATTTTTAAAAGATTAAAAAGTTCACGATAAACACCTTTTGATGGTGGCTAAAAGCTTGATTCCGCTAAATTAGGATACCGTGCGCTGCTATTTTACCCGGCCATTAAGTCCCTAGTAGAATGAAATACGTGATGTGAATTCCTCTGTAAGTCATTAGTGAGTAATTTTCAGAAATAAGCAAGACTCGAGTAAGATGAATTAATAAATCTTAGAGTCGTAAATGATCAGTGATGTAAGAATGTTTTCATATACTGAGTTGTGAAGAATTGAGAAAATATTACCTAAATAAAATGATCTTATTACCTGTTTTGCATATTCCACTCCGTCTACAAATATTCTGTGCAGATCTTTAGAGGAAAGTGGATGCAATGAAGACTTAACTGTATCACTTAAAGAAAGCCTTCTCCCATAGGTGATGTTCAAAGTATCTAAATCTGCTCCAATATCTGGGATTTCGTCTGATCTATATGACATACCTAGTGAAATAGTAAAATTAAGGAATAGATAATTTATGCACACTTGACTTCTTGTAACACTACAATATTACCAATCCAATCTTACCAAATTTATCAACTTACTTTATCAATTAGTAATGAAACTCATTACACAATGCAAATAGCAAAATTATCGACATGTGGATATCAAATATTCAAGCAGTCTCAATAAGGTAGTCATAAATTCCAACGAAAATTACACCGGCTATCTGTCAGAAAGTGTTGTTTAAACTCGACATTTACCAAAGAGTATGCATGTTTCCTGTATAATCATATGGAAATAAAATACTGTAGGATTCTGTAATAATATAAACTATAAACACGTCCCACAGAAACGATTGATTCGAGTATATCACTTTTCTAGTAAAGTGGGTTTTAAAGGTCTTGTGCTATTTCATTACGACTAAATCTTACTGACTTATCAACGCGAAACTTTGCACAAAATGCATCAACCTGTGGAACCTTACAACCTCATCGATTGACTTTCTCTGTTTACCTAACTGTACTGGTCACATTACTGTGTCTTTATGGCATAGTAAGGCTGCACTAATATTCATTACGACCGATGTATCCCACATAAAGACAGAAGCTACTTACTGACCGAAACTGAATATATATTCAAGAACAAAATCGACACAGTAAACATGAGGATGTCAGTGTAGAGGCTGAAATAAGAAGGATTAATGGAACAGTTTAACGACAATCAGATAAATAAGTCGACAATAAATGTGTTACAGTAACCTATTTAAGAAGATTTAGACTGAAATTGGGTGTAAACGTATCTGCACCATTACCATCTTTTTTTTAATAATAATAATAATAATCACTTTATTCCACAACAATAGCAATTTACAGCATGGAATTTTCAGCGTTTCTTTTACATATTGCATTGGTTTAGCTCTGTTTATAATTATATAAATGTATAAACACATTCATCAACCTGAAACCAATCTGGAAATCTTCGTCACTCAGCATCAACAACAAAATCGGGATTTTCAATACAAACGTCAAGTCAGTTTTGCTATACGGATCAGAAACTTGGCGGGTCACCAAGAATATTTTCAACAGGTTGCAGACCTTTATCAACAACTGTCTTCGCTCCATACTGAAGATTAGATGGCCGGAAAGAATCACAAACAAGAAGCTATGGGAACAAACGAAACAGGAACCAATCGCCCAACAAATATGCAGGAGGAAGTGGAGATGGATTGGACACTCGCTGAGGAGGGCGTTGAGTGACATCGCGCGTCAGGCCCTCGAGTGGAACCCGAAAGGGAAGCGGCGAGTGGGACGTCCAAGGGTGACATGGAGGAGATCGTGTGAGGAGGAGATGAAACAGTATGGAATAACATGGACGCAAGTGAAAAGTACAGCACAAGGCAGAAGCAAATGGAGACGTGCAGTTGAAGCCCTATGTTCCACTAGGAACCCAAGGGAACAATAATAATAATAATAAAATGTTAAAATATTGATCGTTAATAGGAAAAAATAAAACCCCAACAAAATCACACCATTTCTTGGTCATAGTGAATAATAAATAAATAATATAACAAATAACACATGCATCAATTCATTTTATAGTCTAGTTAATGATTTAAAAGTTGTAAAAGTTCTTTTCTGATATTTGTCTCGTCATGCAATACTCATCATAAACTGGCTGGCTTATCAGTCAAATCTTACACCACATAACTTTAATCGTCTATGTATGTCAGAAACTGCCTGGCTTTTTCTTTTATTATCCAGTCAACTATGATACAAAATATTTGCATGCACTTTAGACATCACATGCCATTTAAATTCCCCTTGGAGCATGACAGTAAATAATCTCTGAATTTTTGACTACTCATAAGTAGGCATACACTAACAAACGAAAATAGCTGGTTGGAGCACAATTCAACTTCAGTAAAAATACCATGAATCAAGATTAGTCATCAGTATGTCTGTGCGTATTACAAAAGATAGTAAATACAGTTAGAATTGATGATTATCAGGTCATAAAGTCACTGAGACAGCTGTAAATTACTCTAGGGTTTTTCTTGGCAAGCAAATGTTTTGTCCATTATAATAAAGGTTTTTTGTATTTCACAATGAATGAAAAACCTTTATTATAATGAATACCATATACCCAATGCCCAAATTTTTTTCACACTTTTAAAAGTGAACTTGGTTTGGACGTATATAAAATGTTTTGTCATTTATACTTATAGAGACAAGTTGATGATTAATTGTTAGTGCATTCCTGGTCTTTCGATTATCAGTGCAAGGAAAGCGGAAGACTTCACCACATTATCGTATTGAATGATCAGCTTAATACTTTTCACGGAAAAAGTGGGCCACTTAAAATTCATACAATTAGAAAAAAGGAAAAGTCTCACACGAAAATGGGATAATCCATCAGTGGATAGAGACGTTTGGGACACAGAATAGCTTAAATGAAATTTGTTTGCCATATCCTCATTAGTCTTCGGCCACTGGCTCTTAGCATCACCACACATCTATCGTATACTAGCAGTCACAGGCTAATGCACCATTGCTATATTCTGCTTCACTTAGCCTCAAATCCCCTGGCAAACCAACCATACAGGTGCAAAACACTTGAGCAGTCAACAAGCAACTAGTGTGACGTGTCTAGTCCTTTCTTTGGTGCAGACTGAATTCTGTCAGTCAGGTTTGCAATGTGGCCACCATTCTAGGTAGCTGGCCATCACAGTGCACATTGATTTGATGATATTAGATAGTTGGAGGCAATCGGCAGGAAGCCTTGGACCTAGGTTTCGTGCTAGTTGGCACTCGTCAGTAAGGCGTATCTGCAGCCTTGAAGGAACTCATGTCCCTTCTGAGATTCGAACCCGCGTCACCCAGTTCTGCAGTCAGAGACGTAACCACTGAGCTCTTCGGGCTCGCGATTGACTTCCTGTAGGACTGTAGTGGGTATTTCGATTGATGTATCTAGTCTTTTCTTTCACTCTATAAGATATTTACTAAACAGCTTTGCATCTGACTTTTTGACCGTAAGGAAAAGCCAGCTGAATATTTGATCACTGCTTTGCAAATATTATCATGTGGACATTGTAATAATCATTTAAATATTTAAGTCTGCCAGTCATCTTTCATGATCACTTTAAAGTTTATAATGAAAGTATGTAGTACATGTTATTATGACAGTCTGTATCCATAAGTCAAAGTTAGTACGTTTCATACCTGGTTCTTACCACCTCAACACGATGTACTACAAGCATTATGCGTTGGAAAGACAGTGTTTCAGATTATCTGGATTAAAATATATTGTCATTTCTTTAAATACTAATTATGAAGACCCTGAAAACATTTTTCCCGCTGAGTATCAAATCAAACCATCTTGTATGCCATAGTTATTTTTTTCAAATAAATAATGGAAAATTATCGGTAAGCTATTTAGAACCCAAAGTCTTCAGTTCGAACATAATCACACGAAGCTTGGTTGTGTAACTTGTTTATCTTGCAGAACTGATCCGCTTGAAGATTTTTCTCCATAGTCGATATTAATCAATGAAGCAAAAGAAATCAGACAGTGCTATCGATTCGTCACATCTTTACTTAGACAAATGCGTCAATTTAAGAGGTGTAAATTGACTCTTTCAGGTTTCTTGACATTAGATTAGCGTTGGGATTTTTGACTGGAATTCACTGCATTCAACATCTCAAAAGTTTGACCACTTTCATGACGCTAAATGCAAATATGTAGATTGTTAACCAGCTTTAAGACCACTAAAGTCTTTTTCCCTGTTGAAGGTCAACAAAAAAGCTTCAGTTTACTTGTGAATGTGAAAAGAAATCATCAAAACCAGAGATATGCGCTTATCGTATTGATTTTCCACTAACGAGTATAATCTGCTTTTCATAGAGACTAAGCCTCAGTCAGTCAATAAATTAATCCTGAAACAAAAATATATCGAGAAGTTAAGCACGCAGTAATCAGGTTAACGCATTAAAATGAATGACAAATCTGCACATTTAGGCAGATTAGGTTAGACCGGATGTGCTGTTAACATATACTTATAATGGAATTTGATAAAATTGATGCAGTTAAAATCCTACTAATCGATCATGTCCTGACCAAATGAAAACCATTCAGTTTACAGTAATCAAAAAATTAGTTACAATTCATGCAGTAAAGTAATTGTAAGACTTTTAACCCATAGTTACAATGATTGATATATAAGCCAATTCATCCTTATAACAGAAAAGTTGACTTTCCTGTTATTGTTAGTTCGGAAATAAAAACACCAATTTTCCTTACTTTTAACACATTGAACAACTTACACATAAATAATTCAGCTATTCCACAACTTTGTTCAATTGTTAAATAATTTGTACCTGCATTTATTAGAAAGTAAATAAGTAACAATAAAAGTAGTTAGTATTTCTTTTTCAAAAAAATAATCTAACATTCAATCAGTTCAACAAGTATGAATGTTCACTGATGATCAGTGAACTTGACAGATGGCTTAATTATTTATTGATCAACCAATTTCTGCCCATTTTCTCATGCATGTTGACTCGCAGTTGAGATGAGACCTTCACAGATGGCTGATTTTATGTATTCCAAACAGCTATGTATACCTAATTCATACGAAAGTTGAACTAAGTAGACAGTGGTTGAAGTTAATCAGTGAAGCCTCTCATGCATTTGGCAGTACATCTATTTAGTAGTGTAGAAGTTCCAGGAAAAGATTTATCTATCATCAGCTTTCAGTCTAATTTAACTATCATTTCTGACTATAAGGTTCACTCTGAAAACCAGTACTATATGCGAAAATCTAACTAATACTTTGAAACGTATTTAATAATATGAAGGAAATCAATGAAAGGCACGTATCAGAACACTTCAAAGTTTAACAACATTGTAGAAATCCATTGTTTCCATGACATCTGAAATATTGTTACTTTCACAGTCATCACAGGGATTATGGTTCACAATTAAAGACAGCCTACAGCGTCACACTAGACGGACAGGTCATGTCCTGAGTATATTCGAAGATATCAGCTGGTAGATGATATAATAAACGCTAAACTAGGAATCAAATTATCAATTATTATCAGTTAGTAGACTTCGGGATAGCGTTATTAAAAGAAAGAGTTTATCCAAAATATGTGGTGTATTTGAGCAGTTGCATTTCGAACAGTTTGGTAATACATTTACTTGTCAAATCAATTTTTCATGAAAAAAGAAAAGCCAATATAAATAAACAAAATAATAAGAGATTTAAAAATTTGAGGGAAAATAATTAGCACAACTTTTGGTAATGTAATCACGGTATTTTAAATGTAATAATAAATTATTTTATAGCTACCGCCTCTGCTTATTTCAGTAAACACCCGCGATTGCTTTCATACATAATCTTGAAAGACTGCAAATATTCAGGCCGTAGATGTTACCAATTTCCCAGAATAATTTGAGTGCTGAGTCAGACTAAACCATTAAAAATTACTTAAAGTGATCGCAGAGTGCTCATTAAATCAAAACAAGATATTTTTTAAAAAGTTCCGGTTTGTAAGCCACAACTTGTTGGGTGGAATTACTCAGATTTTATTCATCATCAAAACAGATGGTCAAAAATTATATAAAATGAAATGAACTTTTTTTACTGTGTATTTTGATGTTTAAAAAAATCCAAGTAAATCTGCTGAAGAAGTTGTGGCTTACACTGCGAAACATCCAGAAAATTCTTTTTCGATTTTTAAAACACTTCGAAATCAGTTTATGTAATTTTATAACCTTGTAAAAACGTTTTGATATCAATTTTGTGATTCATATCAGTGAAATGTTTTGCTATAAACGAGGTTGGTATTGTGTCACCCATGTTCACCAACGTCTTAGAGTTCAGTTGTTGCTCAACCGATCTGTGTATATATCCTCCCATCTTCAAGTACAAAGCGGGATTACTCCTCTATAAGTATTTATGATCACAAACAAATATAAATTGGTATATAATTGGTAAGTACATTATGCGTCGGTGGCGCAGAGGTGGTGGTTCGAAGGTCGTTCCCCGGCCGACGGACTCCTTTACCTTCCTAAGACAGTAATAAAACTGGTAAAGAGGGAAATTCGGGCATGAGGCTAGCAACCTCATTCCGTAAAAATAAAACACCACTGCTACTGGGACTTCAAAGTCCTATCTTGAATCCCTATGTGCCACTGGGAACGCAAAGGAATACAGAAAATAAGAAAATACACTACGGAACACGATATCTTGAGCACTGTTTTGCTTTGTGGCCAACCCATTTTTCGTGGTGTTTTTGTTAATTATAAGCCGGGCTACATAGTAAATTCTACGGATAACAAATGTAATCCATGTTTTAAAATCCTGCTATTTATTTCCTCATTGTAAGACGATTTAATGCAGACATATTTCCTTGTAATAAAATAGAGTGTAGGTTTCGAAACTAGCTGATGTCTACAGCGATTCAAGAGCTACAAAGGGCATCCTTTTCCAACAGCTGTGTCCGTCAGTGATTTCTTCCTATCATCCAAAGTATTAGCTATACGAATACACTGAATCTTCTTAAATAAGCTCATAACCAGGTCTCTATAATATTTTAAACGACAACAGCTGTGAAAATTTAAATGTTGCCCTGTACAACGAATTATGATGTCGAATCGACTAGATTAGGAACTAACATGCAACTTGACTTATAAATTAAGTCAGTACTATTAAGGTCTAGACACATCACGCTAATCTTTCCTGCAATTTCCGTTAAGCAAGTCAGTACCTCTGCAGAGTTAATTTACCAAATTTAGTGACCATATTTATCAAGAATCTATCTTCTTAGTTATATATATATATATATATATATATATATGCATAAAATAAAACGGTCATAGATAATTAATCTGTGCATGAACTCATTGACATACAAATGTGTCCACACCTAATTAACAGACAGATAGATTTATACAGTTTACGAAACAGTGAATCTTTCTAGGTTACGGTTTGATGAAGCGTATAAAAATGATAATTAGATGAGTAAAATTTTTAAGATTATTTGTAAGAATCGATAAATATTATATATGTAAGTGCAGAGAGCGAATCCGAGACAAAAAATCATTGTTTTACAAAGTAAACGAATACTTGTTGGTATGGAAGATAGTAGAAAACTGGCACTGAGTGGCAAACTTCATATAGAAATAACTTGGATTATTTGAATGCAGAATTGTGACATGATAATAATAAAAAATTTAAAACAATTAGTCCCTTTTATAAATTTGGATAGTGTCATTAGAAGACGGAGATAATCTGAAAAATGTGATGTATTTGCGCTATACATGTGTGATCAGATTGTTCGAAATGCATAGCGCAAAATACGTCACATTTTTCAGATAATCTCCGTCTTCTAATAACACTATCCAAATAATAAAAACGGAAGAAAGAATTAGGCGATGAGACATTAGAATTACTTTCCCATTTTTATTCATAAAGGGGAATAAGTTTAAGAAGTTTCATTTGTATGTTGACGAAACACTAAAGTACAAAAGAGATATTGTCTTCAGCCTTACGGGGCGTTGCATTATGTGCTATGGATCAGACAAAATAAATTCTCTATAGTTGTGTCAACCCGACTGAAGGAATGTTTGTAGAAGAAAATATCAGTCAGTTTGCATTCAATCTTATTAGTTAACACTGGAAATTGTTGATGTTGAGTAGTTTGGCTGTGCGCACTACTTAAGATGTGCCCAAATCTATAGAGGAATTTCAGCTGATATATGCCTGTGAAAAAAGACTAGTGAAAAGAGTTCTTTTTACTACGAATTAGTCCATAAGTGACTTATTAATATGACCATCTCCTAGATTGTTTAAATATATTTCATTACATCAGTTGTCAATAATTTGAGTTTAAATCGACTGCGTTTTTCCACAGCCAACAACTATCAAGATGAGGTAGTGTTTGTTTCAATCTATGCAACGCTTCGAAAATCCAGTTTAGATGAATATTAGTCTGAGAAGTTTTTAATTCCCACTTTAACAGTAATCAGTGTGTCCAGATTTACAAGATTCCTTGGACATAACGTAAGCCTTCGATAGAGGGGAATCAATGATGTACAAAATTGTGCTTTTAATTAATGCTATAGTGGTAATTTACTTCATATCTAATTTTACATTTATTGTGCCTAATAGAAACAATTTTCCAGGCTAAATATGAAAAGAGTGCACTTAGGTTTTGGTAAACTGAATCCCTGAGGTGATGGAGTGTTCGCCATTCGCCTATCGAGTTCAGAGAAGTAAGTGAGCAAGTAAAGGCTTCGCATGTTGTCTAGAAAGACAATGGAAGCTTCGCATTCAAGCCACCCTACTCAGAGAACAGAACTACACCAAGAAAAAAGCTTTCGTCTCCTTATTATGAATTTACAACAAGATATTTAAGCGAACAATATTGTTTTCAATTAGATCTTCTTCAGGCTTTACTCTAATTTACATAGATTTATAAATGAAAAATTTAACCGATCACGGTGAGTTTCTGGATCAAAGAATAAGAACAATTGTTAAATGTTTTCAACGTCAGTAATGACGATGACTATAATGATAATAAAAAGCTCAGCAATTCAACAGATTAAGATGGAAAAGCTGAAAAGAAGCTAACAAACATGCTTAAGGAGCCGAGGAAAAATGGGGTTATCTCAGAGGCAGCCTATAACTTTGTTACACCTACTGGAAGCAAAAGTTCACTATCTTATGGTTTGCCAAAATTACATAAACCAAGATTTCCTCTTCGCCCAATCCAAGACACATCTAATCCCACCTAACATGGAGTGCCTAAGTGGCTAGTTGAACTCCTCCAACCATTACTCAAGAAAGTGGTAGATCACAGCTTATATTTATATCTGAAGGCTATTTAAGCATATATATAAAGTAGCTGCTGAAGAAACAGTTTCAGTCTTCAATGAGTAAGTTACATCCTGGATTTTGCAGAATAAGCGACTGCACGTTACACATTTAGCTGTGGAAAGTGGAAATGGATTCAGAAACATTATATTAAATAAGTTCATTTATCGACTTGGTATTTATCCACATTTCTCTAAATGCATTCAACATAAGGCTCCAAAACAGTACTTGTTTCTCCATCAGAAGAGGCAATAATCAGAGATTAAAACGTATCGGAAGAATTTTTGTTCGTTCAGTGTTATATTCATTTTATGTCATCTATCCAGAAGATTCGGGTCGTGATATTTTAGCAGTACATTTAAGATATATGCTTCAGAGTTTATTGTGTTTTTTTTAAAGATGACTATGACATGCGGTTACTTGACAGTCGACTGAAAATGCTTTTCATTCACGTGAAATCAGTCATAAAGTTTACATTCTGAAATAAAACATCTGTTAAAATAATATGATTTATTGTTCGAATAACTGGAAATCGACCCAATGTTTTCACTCAGAAGGTTATTCATATAGTAAACTCTTATAAATAAATTCTATATATAAAAGGAAACAAGACAAACCATCTTCTAAAATGCAGTGAAGAGATTCTAGATTCAGCGCTAAAATGTCACTTATCTAGTATATTTACACTCCGAAAACAAATGTTTCACGTTGCACTTGAAGTTGAGTGGGACGCTAATCGTGACAATTCATGTTTATTTGGTTACAGGATTTCATCATGAGCTGACATCAGTTAGAGAACCATTGGAAAACCTGGGAGTACTGGACAGCTGTTTCGTCCTAGTTTGGGACTCTTCAGCAGTACGCACCCACCGGGATTCGAACCCAATTCCTTCTGGATATAAGGCAAGCTTGTATACAATTAAGCCACTGGGACCCGATCCAACGGTCCATGAATGCTAACTTCTGCCAATTCACGACATAGCGCGACCCCTAGCCAATGTCTTCGGCGAGTATTTGTCCTCACGCCCGACCTGCTGCATCCTGGTGGGTGCGTACTGCTGAAGAGTCCCAACTAGGACGAAAAAGCTGTCCAGTACTCCCAGGTTTTCCAATGGTTCTCTAACTGATGTCAGCTCATGAGGAAATCCTGTAACCAATCAAATCCTTACAAACCAACACTTGAAAATCATGTTTATTTGTTGTGCAAGGAATTAGAACAAGGTCAGAGAGATGAAATATCGTTCATCAACTGAAATTCTAAGTTGGAGTTTTAAATTAACTGGCATTAAATGGTGTTCTAATTCTTAAACTTAAAAATAAATCTAGTTTTCAAGTGGACTGAAAGTCACTTTGTACACTAGTTTATTCAAAATAGATTTTGTCAATTCATTAGGATACGGGTTGACAAGAGAAAACCTGACTGGGTAGCTAGTGTGACAATAAACAGATGTCACTCATTCACATAAAAGCTGTGTATTGCATGTGGTGACTGCAGTGAAATAATAAACTGAATGATAACTGAGTATTGTAGCCTCTACGCCAGATGTTCATCTCATCTCCAATCGTCATTAATTACATAACTTGATAAATTAGTAATCGAAATAAAAGTAAAGAATCGACATGCGTCCAAGTTATGACAAATCAATTTATAAAATCAGGTGTGAAAAACAGGAAAAGTAAATGCGAACATACCTCTGTCGGGGAACAACTCTTTCATCAGCTCAGATACTTCCCAAAACCCAATACGCAATACTGCAGCCTTAGTATTGTCTCCTAAATCTAAACCGTGACATATTCCAGCAGCTATTGCCACGACATTCTTCAATGCTCCACACAATTCCACGCCAACATCATCTTGAGTTATAACAAGCTTGAGGTAATCAGACTGTATTGATAGGCGAAATATTGACATAAAGAATGAAGAGAACCATTTGTTAAGTCTTTTGTAAGTACGAAGTTTATTTTCTGATGTAGCCGGAATTTTATGTAATTATATTCTTGAGCAGACATAATAAAATACAAATACATTACATTCCGTCATTTGATATTTATTCAGCATCAGTGTTAATAAAATGAACTTCAGAATTGTCTTATTCAAAATGCTACTCTCGAACTATTTTTTGAGGTATGTAGTTGGATATTCGTCACTCTTCAGGACTGGCTTTTAATTCACTTGTAAACTCATGCCTAGTCAGAGGTGTATTTTCGAAAATCAACACACAGCTCACCAAACCATCTACCTTTTTCGCTGTACTGCTGGACAGACTTCAACTGAATGAATTCCAGTATTTTGTTGTGGTTGTGTTCTCTGAGCTGAATAGTTAATTTGTGAAGCTTTCATTGCCCTACTAGGCAACATTTTCAGACGTCCATGGACGTCTTCCAAAAGAATGGATATCAATGGAATTTCATCAAAAGACATATAACCCCAAGCCAACCTAACAAATCAAAGACCCCCAAGGAAAGCCTCACCATGTATAAAGGACATCTCAGAAATCACTGCAAGGCCTTTTAAACCTTTAGGAATCGACGTCACTTACAAACCAACAAAATCACTTCATTCAGTTCTATGTCAACCAAAACATTCGACAACGAAAGAAGATAAAACCAACATCATCTACAAAATAAACTGTAACAACTGCGAACAACGCTGCATTGGCCAAAGTGGACGTCTCCTTTGTCTTCGTGTCCACGAACATAAGCTACCCGTCAAAAGACATCGCATACACTCCCTAGTATCACTACATACAGACAACCACGGACACCAATTCGACTAGGACAACGTTCAAATACTAGACAGAGGAAACACCGAAAATGCTAGAGAATTTTTACAAGCCTGGTATTCCAGTGAATCATCAATCAGTAGAAACATCGAGATAGACAAAATTTACCAACCGATAAGAAGAAAACCTCACACACAAAGGGTCAAAGAAACAATCAGTTCCAATACAAGTAGCCTAGAGAGTGTGAAAACACACAAAAACAACCAACCACGTGCAAGGTCACCAAGAGGGATGGCTAATAAACCCGTGGAGAAATCTAATAGCTCACTTCAAATTGAAGTAAGCGCTGAAGATGTTGCTTAGTAGGGCGATGAAAGCTTCTCAAATTAACTATCCAGCTCAGAGAACACAACCACATCAAGATTATCCACCTGGGCTACAAACTTTCTCCATCATATCTGAATTCCAGTATCTCAAGACTCCAATTTTAACTAGTCTTCAAATACTATACGCAATACTCACCTTGTAAGAATGGAAGATTAGGCATATTCAGAAAAAAATCAGCAAACTTCACAAGTCCAATGTTCGGTTCACTTTTGTATGAAGGGGAAGCGAATGGTAAAAGCTCAGTATTTAACAGGATATACCAATAGTCACCTGAATTCCGTTGAATCACCTACCTCAGCTGCGTGTATTATTTAATAGTGGAATGCTTACCAGTCACGCAACTCGACGCACTTGTAAGCTTCACATGGTTTAATGGTTGATAATAAGCCGGGAAAAGAGGGAAAGCTGGACGCAACGCCAGGAACTCCACGTTATAAAATCAATACCACCGCTACTGAAACCTCAAAGTATTGAGCCCAGTATAAAAATGGCAACGTGAAGGAATGGAAAAAACTTGAGCCAATTTATTGAGTAAAAAACCGAGAAATCATCGTTAAGACTGTGTGCATGAATGCGAACAATCCATTGTTAGATTAGCTAGGAATAAAACTACTTTATCGTGAACATTCCACACTACAAGCATTTCACTTTTTCAATTGGACGAATAGTCACATATTAAGCAAGATGACCGAGATTTCACAAACAAACCAATTCATCACTTTATAATAGCGACTTTTTAGATTGCATCGATAAATGTCTATTTCAAAGACTTCAGTAGAAAATTCTGTTCAATCTCAGATTAGAGCGGAAGAGAAATTTTAAGAAGAAGATACAGAATTCAATATATACATAAAAATCATGTTAGCAAATCAATAGAGATCTATAACATATGTATCAAATAGAGCATTATTCACTCCATTATAGTTTAGTGATACGCGAAATTACTGTACATATCCACTGCGTTTGTTCCCTAGTTTGGTTATGTAGCTATGAAGTCTCGATAACTCATACTATAACATATTCTTCAATCATTTATCACCACTATTCTTGTTGCGACTTCATGCACAACATACCTCGCAAAAGCGCTAAACACAGACCAAGAGACTTCAGGAGACGTGCTGATGCAAATAAGACAGTAGGTGTGAAGCGAAAGAAACGTATTAGACTAGAGAAGGAGAAGCTATCTTGCCAAGCCACCAAAAAGAAGCAACTTAAGTCTTCCGGAGGAGACTCAGAAGAGAAAAATAAAAAAATAGTACAGTGAAGATGTGCTGCTGAAGCCCTATGTTCCACTTGGAACGTAAGGAACGAATAATAATATTATAACCCATATCTTATCATCCTACTGAAAATTCATGGCTACTGCTTTACATTTAATAATTATTTGTAAATTTAGGTATACCAAATCGAAGTCTAGGGGGGTCCAAGTGAAAATAACATTTTTATCTTAAATGTTTTCTCACAAATTTTGCCATGAGAGCCTCTGATTTTCTCATACCAATATATGTATAGAAAACTTGGCACTGTATTTCCACTCATATCTTTTAAGATAAAAAATATGGTGAACATTACCTGTAGAAGTCTTTTTACTTCATGCGCATATGTAAGATTCTTGGAGCCGATAGTTGCCTCAGTGAAATGTTGCTTGGCCACTTCAACAGCTGTTGTAGCTCCGATAACGACTACGCAGCTTTTACCAGTTTGTTCTCGAATAACATCGCTTACCAGTTTAATTCTGTTTTCTTCGGGACACAGAATGAGACCCTACGTTTAAGAGAAAGTGGGAAAATTTCGCAAAGCATCATTTCTATGTAACCGTGAGAATACCAAATATGCAAATAACTTTGTGACTTCTACGGATAGGCACACAAAAAACATAACTGAACAGATATAAAAACAAAAAAGTATATTGCATGCAATCAGGATCTCAAGGACTCTAATATTTTCATTCGATCTCAACATCGTGAGATCAAAAATAAGAATACATTTATTGTCTAAGATGGAGGTCTTTGATCTAATTTGAGAAGTGACATAAGTTTTGACAGTAAAATATAGGATACGATTTCAGTCCTATCTATTTTCTTATGGTTTTCGACTAACACCAGCTCGCAATAAAACGTTAATAGGAACAGCAAACAGCAACACTGCAATGGGACAAACAGTGTTTCAGAAAGTGCCCGAGTTCGATATTTAGATAAGTAAACTGGTATAGCAGCACACTCATGAAACGTGATGAGACTTGTCTTCAAAATATCACAGTCGCCAATACGATGGCATCAGAGTTGTTCAATTCAATTAGTATCTTCATACGTGCAATCCAGATTATTGCACGATATGTAGTCTTAGAAACACCCTGGCAAAATGGAGTGAAAAGTGATAATGACTATGAAATCAAAGTTGTTCTTGAATAAGAAGTCAGTTAAACTTCCTTAACACAACAATAATTGAATTTCGCATGCCGTTACAGCGAAGCAACACATGGGAAAGTCACTCATTTATCTAACCCCACATATTAAATTGAAGAAAGTAAATAAATTTAACAGTCTATGGTTGCTAAAAGTATTCGGCCTGTACCAAATACTTCAGTGAGCTCCATAACAGAAGCATATCCATAAGTGGACGTAGCTGGGAATTTGGCTAGAGCCATTTTGAGATAATGTTATAAAAGGAGATGAATCTCAGGGCCTATCAATATATACTGTCAGACTCTGGAAGATAACTCAATATCTGTCACTGACATACAAGGTGATTAAGGACATTATAAAATATGTTTTGAAGAATCCCAGAGGAAATCAAATTAGTAATGTTCAAGCACCTTCATAGAGAAACGATGATACTTTGGAAGTCTCTAAAGTCGTTTTCGTGGGATTGCCGTAAAAATAATACATTTGTTTTAAATAATATCTCATTGGTGTATTGTTCTTATTGTGTAAATTCAGGTCATACAAGCATGCCGGAAAGAACTTATGGATCAATCAGTTGTTGAAGTTGTGGAGACCGAAAAATATTAAATTATACGTTCATTGGAAAATAGTAAAAATAATAAATTCACTGCACATCCTAGGTGTTAAGTGATATATTGAATAAGCACACCATCTTGTTCACTGCGCACTACGGACGACACAACTTCTTTTCCCCAGCTTCTTGCTCCCCACTATTGCTAATTACCTTCGGCCCGTACCTGACCAGTGTACACACGTTTTGGATCCTTTGCTTCAATCTCCTTTCCTCTCCGTACCCTTCGGGCTCTTGGCATACCCTTATGTGGAGTGAGCAACTGCAGATCAAAAGGACTACTTCATTACTTCAATTCTGTGCTTCTTTATTTGTGTATTTTGGGACAATTATAACCCATCAAATAACTGTATTATATACATATGTATAAATTTGTGTGGACTGAATTCCTCGTACATGTATATTTGTATTTTCATTTACATAGACTAATGCATATATATATATATATATGTCACATATCTTTTCTACTAATCTGGAGGAAGTACATCAATTGGTGAAGAATTCTTTATTGATTAATCTCATACTTTGTACTTAATCTTACAAACATCTATATCTTTCAAACTTACCTTACAAAAGGAGACAAAATATGCACCGTCTTTGATAAACTTCTTCACATTTTCTACCAACCATAGAATGTAGCATGATGGATAAGACACTAATATAATGTCAGCTTCTTCGACCACTTTCTGAATATTAGAGTAGGCGGAAACATTCGAAGGAATATCAAGCGTTGGCAAGTACTTGGGATTTATATGTTCTTGATTAATCCAAGTGGTTAGGCTACGACCATTGTAATCTTCATCTCTTACGTACCAATAAACCTACAAAATAATTACTATATAACTAGAAACCAAAACGTTTACTTCATCATGAAATTCTTTTGAAGATTTAATGTTGTCAGCAACAAGCTTAACAGTAGCAGTACCCCAAGCACCACAACCAAGAACGACAACACGTTTCATCATTAGAAAAATTTAAAGTGTCTCTCAGAAAAGGTCAGACAAACTAACAATCTTATTAAATTTTAACAAAAATATCGTATGCAACTTAGTTCCTATACAATTAATTTTACGGTATCAATTTCCAAAATGCTGTTGATTCTCTAATTCACAGATGTGTGACCACTCCAGTTAATGTGGAGGGTTGAGACAGAGGCAAATAATTAATCTGTGAGACTTCATCCGAATTTCAATGTTATATTTGGCTACGGTAAGCGGCAAAAAGCCACCATTGGGAAAGCCTCATATGCATAAGTAGTTTATGATAAATTCCTTAGTATTCCACAGAAGCAGAAATAAGTTCAAGTTCAAGTAGAAGAGAAATTGTCCCTCGGAGCAAATGTAGGATCCACGTTTCGGATTGAATAATTAATACGAGCTAAACAACAGGCAGGGCTTGGAGACGCTGGATATATAGTTAGTATCTACTTGTTTAATACCTGTTAATGACTTTGTGTATTTCCCTAACTCTAAATAGGTCTTCACAGTATTTTAGGTCATAAGAGACGGCAAATAAATCTTTAACATATTCCTCACACCCTGAGTTATATAAATAAGGCGCTATCACATGCCAGTACTTCTTCAAAAGTTGATTTGCAGGGATTCGGTTGGTTTCAGGCTATATCATGGGTTGATATCAGCTAGAGAACCAATACACTAATACAAAACTAGGAAGAGACAGCTGTCTAGTACTCTCTTGTATACATTGGTTCTCTAGCTGATATCAACCCATGATATAGCCTGAAACCAACCGAATCCTTGCAAATCAACTTTTGAAGAAGTACTGGCATGTGATAGCGCCTTATTTATATCACTCAGGGTGTGAGGAATATGTTAAAGATTTATTTGCCGTCTCTTATGACCTAAAATACTGTGAAGACCTATTTAGAGTTAGGGAAATACACAAAGTCATTAACAGGTATTAAACAAGTAGATACTAACTATATATCCAGCGTCTCCAAGCCCTGCCTGTTGTTTAGCTCGTATTAATTATTCAATCCGAAACGTGGATCCTACATTTGCTCCGAGGGACAATTTCTCTTCTACTTGAACTTGAACTTATTTCTGCTTCTGTGGAATACTAAGGAATTTATCATAAACTACTTATGCATATGAGGCTTTCCCAATGGTGGCTTTTTGCCGCTTACCGTAGCCAAATATAACGTATTGAAAATAACACTGAAATTCGGATGAAGTCTCACAGATTAACTATTTGCCTCTGTCTCAACCCTCCACATTAACTGGAGTGGTCACACATCTGTGAATTAGAGAATCAACAGCATTTTGGAAATTGATACCATAAAATTAATTGTATAGAAACTAAGTTGCATACGATATTTTTGTTAAAATTTAATAAGATTGTTAGTTTGTCTGACCTTTTCTGAGAGACACTTTAAATTTTTCTAATGATGAAACGTGTTGTCGTTCTTGGTTGTGGTGCTTGGGGTACTGCTACTGTTAAGCTTGTTGCTGACAACATTAAATCTTCAAAAGAATTTCATGATGAAGTAGACGTTTTGGTTTCTAGTTACATAGTAATTATTTTGTAGGTTTATTGGTACGTAAGAGATGAAGATTACAATGGTCGTAGCCTAACCACTTGGATTAATCAAGAACATATAAATCCCAAGTACTTGCCAACGCTTGATATTCCTTCGAATGTTTCCGCTTACTCTAATATTCAGAAAGTGGTCGAGGAAGCTGATATTATATTAGTGTCTTATCCATCATGCTACATTCTATGGTTGGTAGAAAATGTGAAGAAGTTTATCAAAGACGGTGCATATTTTGTCTCCTTTTGTAAGGTAAGTTTGAAAGATATAGATGTTTGTAAGATTAAGTACAAAGTATGAGATTAATCAATAAAGAATTCTTCACCAATTGATGTACTTCCTCCAGATTAGTAGAAAAGATATGTGACATATATATATATATATATGCATTAGTCTATGTAAATGAAAATACAAATATACATGTACGAGGAATTCAGTCCACACAAATTTATACATATGTATATAATACAGTTATTTGATGGGTTATAATTGTCCCAAAATACACAAATAAAGAAGCACAGAATTGAAGTAATGAAGTAGTCCTTTTGATCTGCAGTTGCTCACTCCACATAAGGGTATGCCAAGAGCCCGAAGGGTACGGAGAGGAAAGGAGATTGAAGCAAAGGATCCAAAACGTGTGTACACTGGTCAGGTACGGGCCGAAGGTAATTAGCAATAGTGGGGAGCAAGAAGCTGGGGAAAAGAAGTTGTGTCGTCCGTAGTGCGCAGTGAACAAGATGGTGTGCTTATTCAATATATCACTTAACACCTAGGATGTGCAGTGAATTTATTATTTTTACTATTTTCCAATGAACGTATAATTTAATATTTTTCGGTCTCCACAACTTCAACAACTGATTGATCCATAAGTTCTTTCCGGCATGCTTGTATGACCTGAATTTACACAATAAGAACAATACACCAATGAGATATTATTTAAAACAAATGTATTACTTTTATGGCAATCCCACGAAAACGACTTTAGAGACTTCCAAAGTATCATCGTTTCTCTATGAAGGTGCTTGAACATTACTAATTTGATTTCCTCTGGGATTCTTCAAAACATATTTTATAATGTCCTTAATCACCTTGTATGTCAGTGACAGATATTGAGTTATTTTCCAGAGTCTGACAGTATATTTTGATAGGCCCTGAGATTCATCTCCTTTTATAACATTATCTCAAAATGGCTCTAGCCAAATTCCCAGCTACGTCCACTTTTGGATATGCTTCTGTTATGGAGCTCACTGAAATATTTGGTACAGGCCGAATACTTTTAGCAACCATAGACTGTTAAATTTATTTACTTTCTTCAATATAATATGTGGGGTTAGATAAATGAGTGACTTTCCCATGTGTTGCTTCGCTGTAACGGCATGCGAAATTCAACTATTGTTGTGTTAAGGAAGTTTCACTGACTTCTTATTCAAGAACAACTTTGATTTCATAGTCATTATCACTTTTCACTCCTTTTTGCCAGGGTGTTTCTAAGACTACATATCGTGCAATAATCTGGATTGCACGTATGAAGATACTAATTGAATTGAACAACTCTGATGCCATCGTATTGGCGACTGTGATATTTTGAAGACAAGTCTCATCACGTTTCATGAGTGTGCTGCTATACCAGTTTACTTATCTAAATATCGAACTCGGGCACTTTCTGAAACACTGTTTGTCCCATTGCAGTGTTGCTGTTTGCTGTTCCTATTAACGTTTTATTGCGAGCTGGTGTTAGTCGAAAACCATAAGAAAATAGATAGGACTGAAATCGTATCCTACATTTTACTGTCAAAACTTATGTCACTTCTCAAATTAGATCAAAGACCTCCATCTTAGACAATAAATGCATTCTTATTTTTGATCTCACGATGTTGAGATCGAATGAAAATATTAGAGTCCTTGAGATCCTGATTGCATGCAATATACTTTTTTGTTTTTATATCTGTTCAGTTATGTTTTTTGTGTGCCTATCCGTAGAAGTCACAAAGTTATTTGCATATTTGGTATTCTCACGGTTACATAGAAATGATGCTTTGCGAAATTTTCCCACTTTCTCTTAAACGTAGGGTCTCATTCTGTGTCCCGAAGAAAACAGAATTAAACTGGTAAGCGATGTTATTCGAGAACAAACTGGTAAAAGCTGCGTAGTCGTTATCGGAGCTACAACAGCTGTTGAAGTGGCCAAGCAACATTTCACTGAGGCAACTATCGGCTCCAAGAATCTTACATATGCGCATGAAGTAAAAAGACTTCTACAGGTAATGTTCACCATATTTTCTATCTTAAAAGATATGAGTGGAAATACAGTGCCAAGTTTTCTATACATATATTGGTATAAGAAAATCAGAGGCTCTCATGGCAAAATTTGTAAGGAAACATTTAAGATAAAAATGTTATTTTCACTTCGACCCCCCTAGACTTCGATTTGGTATACCCAAATTTACAAATAATTATTAAATGTAAAGCAGTAGCCATGAATTTTCAGTAGGATGATAAGATATGGGTTATAATATTATTATTCGTTCCTTACGTTCCAAGTGGAACATAGGGCTTCAGCAGCACATCTTCACTGTACTATTTTTTTATTTTTCTCTTCTGAGGATGATTGTGCGCCAGTCCTCCGGTAGACTTAAGTTGCTTTTTTGGTGGCTTGGCAAGATAGCTTCTCCTTCTCTAGTCTAATACGTTTCCTTCGCTTCACACCTACTGTCTTATTTGCATCAGCACGTCTCCTGAAGTCTCTTGGTCTGTATTTAGCGCTTTTGCGAGGTATGTTGTGCATGAAGTCGCAACAAGAATAGTGGTGATAAATAATTGAAGAATATGTTATAGTATGAGTTATCGAGACTTCATAGCTACATAACCAAACTAGGGAACAAACGCAGTGGATATGTACAGTAATTTCGCGTATCACCAAACTATAATGGAGTGAATAATGCTCTATTTGATACATATGTTATAGATCTCTATTGATTTGCTAACATGATTTTTATGTATATATTGAATTCTGTATCTTCTTCTTAAAATTTCTCTTCCGCTCTAATCTGAGATTGAACAGAATTTTCTACTGAAGTCTTTGAAATAGACATTTATCGATGCAATCTAAAAAGTTGCTATTATAAAGTGATGAATTGGTTTGTTTGTGAAATCTCGGTCATCCTGCTTAATATGTGACTATTCGTCCAATTGAAAAAGTGAAATGCTTGTAGTGTGGAATGTTTACGATAAAGTAGTTTTATTCCTAGCTAATCTAACAATGGATTGTTCGCATTCATGCACACAGTCTTAACGATGATTTCTCGGTTTTTTACTCAATAAATTGGCTCAAGTTTTTTCCATTCCTTCACGTTGCCATTTTTATACTGGGCTCAATACTTTGAGGTTTCAGTAGCGGTGGTATTGATTTTATAACGTGGAGTTCCTGGCGTTGCGTTCAGCTTTCCCTCTTTTCCCGGCTTATTATCAACCATTAAACCATGTGAAGCTTACAAGTGCGTCGAGTTGCGTGACTGGTAAGCATTCCACTATTAAATCATACACGCAGCTGAGGTAGGTGATTCAACGGAATTCAGGTGACTAATGGTATATCCTGTTAAATACTGAGCTTTTACCATTCGCTTCCCCTTCATACAAAAGTGAACCGAACATTGGACTTGTGAAGTTTGCTGATTTTTTCTGAATATGCCTAATCTTCCATTCTTACAAGGTGAGTATTGCGTATAGTATTTGAAGACTAGTTAAAATTGGAGTCTTGAGATACTGGAATTCAGATATGATGGAGAAAGTTTGTAGCCCAGGTGGATAATCTTGATGTGGTTGTGTTCTCCGAGCTGGATAGTTAATTTGAGAAGCTTTCATCGCCCTACTAGGCAACATCTTCAGCGCTTACTTCAATTTGAAGTGAGCTATTAGATTTCTCCACGGGTTTATTAGCCATCCCTCTTGGTGACCTTGCACGTGGTTGGTTGTTTTTGTGTGTTTTCACACTCTCTAGGCTACTTGTATTGGAACTGATTGTTTCTTTGACCCTTTGTGTGTGAGGTTTTCTTCTTATCGGTTGGTAAATTTTGTCTATCTCGATGTTTCTACTGATTGATGATTCACTGAAATACCAGGCTTGTAAAAATTCTCTAGCATTTTCGGTGTTTCCTCTGTCTAGTATTTGAACGTTGTCCTAGTCGAATTGGTGTCCGTGGTTGTCTGTATGTAGTGATACTAGGGAGTGTATGCGATGTCTTTTGACGGGTAGCTTATGTTCGTGGATACGAAGACAAAGGAGACGTCCACTTTGGCCAATGCAGCGTTGTTCGCAGTTGTTACAGTTAAGATAATGTTGGTTTTATCTTCTTCCGTTGTTGAATGTTTTGGTTGACATAGAACTGGATGAAGTGATTTTGTTGGTTTGTAAGTGACGTCAATTCCTAAAGGTTTAAAAGGCCTTGCAGTGATCTCTGAGATGTCCTTTATACATGGTGAGGCTTTCCTTGGGGGTCTTTGATTTGTTAGGTTGGCTTGGGGTTATATGTCTTTTGATGAAATTCCATTGATATCCATTCTTTTGGAAGACGTCCATGGACGTCTGAAAATGTTGCCTAGTAGGGCAATGAAAGCTTCACAAATTAACTATTCAGCTCAGAGAACACAACCACAACAAAATACTGGAATTCATTCAGTTGAAGTCTGTCCAGCAGTACAGCAAAAAAGGTAGATGGTTTGGTGAGCTGTGTGTTGATTTTCGAAAATACACCTCTGACTAGGTATGAGTTTACAAGTGAATTAAAAGCCAGTCCAGAAGAGTGACGAATATCCAACTACATACCTCAAAAAATAGTTCGAGAGTAGCATTTTGAATAAGACAATTCTGAAGTTCATTTTATTAACACTGATGCTGAATAAATATCAAATGACGGAATGTAATGTATTTGTATTTTATTATGTCTGCTCAAGAATATAATTACATAAAATTCCGGCTACATCAGAAAATAAACTTCGTACTTACAAAAGACTTAACAAATGGTTCTCTTCATTCTTTATGTCAATATTTCGCCTATCAATACAGTCTGATTACCTCAAGCTTGTTATAACTCAAGATGATGTTGGCGTGGAATTGTGTGGAGCATTGAAGAATGTCGTGGCAATAGCTGCTGGAATATGTCACGGTTTAGATTTAGGAGACAATACTAAGGCTGCAGTATTGCGTATTGGGTTTTGGGAAGTATCTGAGCTGATGAAAGAGTTGTTCCCCGACAGAGGTATGTTCGCATTTACTTTTCCTGTTTTTCACACCTGATTTTATAAATTGATTTGTCATAACTTGGACGCATGTCGATTCTTTACTTTTATTTCGATTACTAATTTATCAAGTTATGTAATTGGTGACGATTGAAGATGAGATGAACATCTGGCGTAGAGGCAGGATTCGAACCGGTGGCCGCCAAATCACTAGTGTAGAACACTACTAGCTAAGCTACAATACTCAGTTATCATTCAGTTTATTATTTCACTGCAGTCACCACATACAATACACAGCTTTTATGTGAATGAGTGACATCCGATTGTCGTCACACTAGCTACCCAGTCAGGTTTTCTCTTGTCAACCCGTATCCTAATGAATTGACAAAATCTATTTTGAATAAACTAGTGTACAAAGTGACTTTCAGTCCACTTGAAAACTAGATTTATTTTTAAGTTTTAGAATTTAAAACTCTAACTTAGTATTTCAGTTGATGAACGATATTTCATCTCTCTGACCTTGTTCTACTTAAGGGAAAGTTGAGTTTATCTAATTCCTTGCACAACAAATAAACATGAATTGTCACGATTAGCGTCCCACTCAACTTCAAGTGCAACGTGAAACATTTGTTTTCGGAGTGTATGTATACTAGATTAGTGACATTTTAGGTTTATGCCATAGGTTGTGATCTGAACCGACATAAAACCCTCTTGTCTGCCCTGCATTTTGTAGGCTGCTGTCCTCCATCTGAGTCCTAAACCTACTTTTTCAGTCCACATAAATATATTTGGTTCATTTAATGTGTGAGTAACAACATGCTTTCATCATCAATATTTTTGTAAGTACATCCTGAAAATTTCTACACAGGGCATAAATATTAGCGCATACATGTAGTATAGAAGTTAGTATAATATAACTAGTTAGTGTGTCGATACATTTGCAAACAAGGTGAATATATATTCTCATTTCTCCTTTTATGTGAGCAGCCTTCTCAGACTGAAATATGGTTGGGAAATCCAATGCTTAATTATAGTCTCATCAGATAGTTGTTTAAGAAAACTTGTCATATGATTTGCTATCAGCCTACTTTCAGCCCCTCTGACTACTTAGATCAGTGCATCTAGTGACATAGCTACCATTTCTAATCACCAGTCTATTGTTACGTTTAAACATGGAAGAACATGTAGTAGGGATAGGAGCTTTGTACCTGCTTAAAGGCTCTTTGACAGAAATTCTGCTAAATTGATTACAGTAATTCTCACAAACCTAGATTTAAAAATACTTCTTATACATACAAGTAATTCCAGCAACAGTATTCAAGGAGTTCCCAAGACAACTATAAGTTATCAACGAGTTTTATTATGTTGAGTTTTGTTATACGAAAGAACTAATTCACCGAGAATTTCACTTACGACATAGCCGTGCACTTTACTGTGTATCATGCACGAAATGTCTAGATAGCATTGTGGCTGGACAACATTTGCTTAATCTCAAGCAAATAAATAAGGAGTCTGCTTTCTAGGAAACTTATCAAGGCTCCTTCGGCTACCATGCTTATGAACATGGTACATTTTTATATGGAATTCCTTCAATCCTGGTTTTTTCTTAATGTATTTTTAACATGATCTATAAAGAATGTAGAATTTTAAAATGCATCTCACTGGTGCTAACATGCACATATACACGTGTACATGTGTTGAGGCGGCTAAAATGAACGCATTAACAATGAAGTCAATACATAACTGTTGAAGCGAATAATATTCATAAGTGATGGATATTTGTACAACTGATAGTTAAGAGTAATAGATATATGCTATATAATAAAATAAGTGTTTGGTATGATAAACAGCCTAATTGAAATAGATTTGTCAAATTATACAAAAAAAAAATTTAATTACAATTGTAAGAAAGAATGAAATATTGTGAACGTTAATAGATAGATGAATAGTAAATAAATACACATGTCAAAGATAGGCAGTAATCAGTGAACCAAAAATACATTATATCATTGTTGGCGATAGTGATACTAGTTTAAGTAGTATGAAAGAGAAACGAACAAATAACATCTAAACATTGGTATTATGTTTAATTTGGAAATGCAGTACGATAGGGGGATCTAGTGTTCAGTGGGCGGTCGATTTCATCTGAAAGATAAATACAACATTAAATACATTTATATATAGTGCAGGTAATGAATTAAGTAAATAAACATATACGAACTTCAGTTAATACGGTAAGCGAAAATTCTCGAAATGAACTATCAGTTCACAGATGAACTTAGACTCAACTGGTATATGGATCCTGTCAGTATGGAAAAAGGTCTAAGTAAGTTTGAATATTATAGGTATGTCTATAGCCTGACAAGAGTCATGTTGGCTGAGGTAGAATTAAGTTAGACAATTGTCAAGATTGGTTTGATCAAAACATCCGAAAAGGAATTAATTATTGTTTACAGCTGACTGTCGTCCTTAGGATATTACGAATCAATGGTCGTGGATTCTTTTCAAGATGTCTGGAAATTTTTTAACAGTGGCATATATGTAAATTTACTTTCCGTCATTATAAAAATCGTCCTTTTTTTCTGCTACATTCAAATTCATTCAATGTGGTATTATTCGGTATTTCTTCTCCTTATAAATTGCAAGAAATTGAGCTGGATGGCTTCTGTACACAGTTTGTTAGTCATTTATGTCGCTCATAGTTTTTACCCTAGTGTTGTGAAGACATAAGACTACAGTCTCAGCGAAAAATGCAGTGTTTTCATTTGAGTGTTAACTCAGGATTTTCCTCAGGAACCAGCCAGTAACTAACTAAAATGTTTCTGTAAAACAGTGACTAATGGACTAGAACTAGTTGGATTTCCTTTTTGCTTAGATGTTAGACGTCAAGAGTCAACCAACAAGAAACCCTTATTAGAGTATTAATTACGATCTTCTAAGTGATGATTAAAGAACAAGAAACAATTTATGAATCTTTTAACAAGGCCACTGTCTAACTACAGTCAGTGAATAGTCTTTTCACTAAATTAACTCAATATCGATCAATGCTTTCCTCACAAGCAAACTAGAATGAGCAAATAGATAAGGTAGTTCAGTACCTCATTATGAAATATTGATTGAAATCAGTTACTTAATGGTTACTTTACAATTTGAAGCTTGACCCTGACTTAGTTAACACTGTTCACAGAGGAGTGTATGTTGATCGGGCAGGTATGGATGGCTTGTGGGACAACTGTGAAGCCAGTCGCTGAGGATCTCAATGGAGCTTAAGCACAGAGATGCGGAATAACTTGACTGACAATGAAAATTAGAAGCGCTTAATCAGTAACTGCATTATATTTCTACTGTACTCGTACGTAATACAGAATGTAGTCCATAACGAACATTTGACTACGCTATTGTCAAAAGTCAGAAATAAATCATAACGTATAAAGAAATCAAGTGATATGTTAATTTACATAACTGAATCCTAATTAATATTAATAATAACACTATTAATGAAACGATAATGTGGGTAGCAACTGGGTCCTGTAATTCAGGGGGCGGCATATTGGACTAATGATTTAGAGCCGACTGGTTCAAATCTTATCACGACCAGCGTTTTTATTTCGCTTTCAACCATCACCCATTAAATCAACACTAATCTACAAACCCAACAATATCTCAGAGTCTCACCATCAATAATAATAACAATGGTAATGATGCACGCATACATACAGTATGTGTGTAATAACCCACCAGGATAGAAAATTTTATAATTTTTAAACATCTAGGATACAACGTACTTTGAATTGTACTCAAGTGAATTGAGTTTGTTTGACAAGCGATCTGTTTAAAGGTTCAGGTCTGGGGCCAACATTGAAACGACTTGTGGTGAATGTTGTATATCTTCTTCGCACCGGACAACCTGTATGCCTGTTTACGGTAATTGAATTCACATCAGTTGTCTTAGCCTGAGGAATATCTGTATACGATGATTTAGTGACTAAATCATTCATTGATCTGGAAGCTCGTGAATTTGTAGCATATGAATCCAAGCAATCTCTGAAACAATAAATCGCAAAAAATACTTGCCGTTCAAATAATTTCCCATTAGGATTCTTCGGCGACTAATTTAAAAGGGGATAAGCAGCTGATAAGATGTAACAAATTTGAAGTAATTTTGTGGATGGCGACTAGCAGTGGAATGCAGAATGTCCATTTCATCTTAGTTAGGATACATCAACTGGATGTACCTACATTTCCCAGTGAGTGATAGTGCTCCAAATGAGACTCGGACTCAGTACCCATCGTTTAAAAAGGCAAGAGGTTATCCACTAGACTATTTAAGCGACGAGCCTACATGTCAACATTTCGGTTCAATCGACCAACGGGAAAATCAAATTTGAATTAACACCAAATATGCAACGAATTTACTGTACAGACACCGGTAGTTAGTCAGAAGCAAGGATACGAACTTAGTCTCTGCTTAATATATAACTCCTAGGAGTTTAGGATCCGAGGTTAATAGAATAGAACACAATTAAGTTTATTCAGCAACCAAAGCTCACATCTGTTGCATTAAAACTTACAAGTATGAGTGCAAGTCTACGTTTTTTATCAAATAAAAATCAACTACTTATAAGATTATGAATAGTAAAGTGGATTGAGCTGCGTTTTACTCTGAGGAAGGGGAAAAGATACTTTTATCTATTTTATTACTTATTTGCAATAGAGGAACAAACTACATCTGTTGAAAAGAAAGAAATGAAATCAGATTTTATTCTTCCAAAATACTGCATCTGTCAAGAAGTTCACTTGTACACTGGTAAAAATATTTAAAATAATTGTTAGGGTCAAAATTACTAAAGTATCTATGTAATGAATTGGGAACAACACATTAGTAAACTAAGTCGCTATTTTGTGGGGATCTCATCCGCTTCCTTCTCATATACAGAAGCTAATGCAAACGTTTTGTTTTTACTAAAAAGACATTAGATGTACTCATGGAACTTAGTCCGAAAGAATGTAAATCAGATGCTGAAAAAGCAGTTCACATAAAGAGATGTTTAGCTGGAGAACAAGTACTCACAAACCATATCCATTCGACATAACTCTATTAAAATGTCACTTGTTTTAGCAAAGTAACTTTTAAATTTTATATAGATCCTTCAGTTAACTAGCTGTACGATAATGTTTTTTTAAAATTTTTTAAAATTCCTCTACGTTCCCAGTGGAACAAGGGCTTCAAGCTAGAGGCCTGAAGTTTCTGAAGCAGTGGTGATTATTTTTACAGAATGGGGTTGCTAGCGTCATGCCCAACCTTCCACTTTACCAGTCTTGTTGCTAGCTTTGCAGGGTAAAGGAGTGTGTGGGCTGGGGATCGAACCCCGGACCACCTGCGTAGTCGGCAAGCTCTCTACCGTTGCCCCACCAGCGCACACAATGTTTGGAGAAACAAAAGATATCGTGCATTAAGTCAAAAGCTCCATTTATTGGGTTATAAAAATCTAACATATGACTGCGTAAACCACTAACCTGGAGTTCCTAGCTTTAATTGTGGGCGGGGCTCCACAAACTGGGCCTCGATTGGATACAGGTAATACACAGACTGTTGGTACGAAGGTTTTCGGAGGTTTACTACCACCACCAACCAGCAAAGTTGAGGATTGATTCGGAGAAGTAGTAGTTGAGAAGCAGGATGGTGTAGAAGAGCGATGATGATCTTGATGGGGATTGATAACTGACATCTAGAAGAAAATTTATAAGTAGAACACAGAATACACGACAAAATAGAGCATAATCAACAAATTCACATCAAACCAAGCAAGGGAGGAAAAAATAACTTAATGTTACCCTTTGTTATTTTATTGTATTTCAAAAGGTACACACAGTTACTTATGTAATTAAAAAGAGGGAGAGGTTTCACCATGTGTCTGTCTTTGCGACTAATAACCAGTTGCGACGGGATAATGATCATGATTTAGGGTAAGACTTAAGTCTCAGCAAGACTATAATTAATGGCTTTTGGAATGCAGAAGAAGAGACATGATTCGAAACCCTAAAAACCAACATTATCTCTTGATATTTTGTGATAACTCGAACACACAAGAATATTTACGTTTATGAACCAAGCTGAATTTTAACAGTCCAACCATTTACCTTAGAATACTTAAAAGAAGCTCAGTGTAGCTTTCGTCATGAACTGATGAAAATTTGAGCATTATTGAAAAACAAACAGCGTTCTAGTTTTCGGCTTTTTACAAGTGCCTAGCAATAAACATACCAGGGATCAATGTTCCCCCAGTTAATATCAGTACGTAAAGAAATCTACATTGAAATTAATCAAACTCCCGCAATCTCGGAATGTGATTATATGACTTTTTAAAAGAAGTAGGTGATTCAGTCAGTGCATTGATTCAAGGAGAAAAACTTCAAAGCTGTACGAGTAGAGATAACTTACTCAGGGAAATGGTAGCAATTATCTTGCAACTTAACAGTCATCCGCTCCGCTTGTAGTTGACACAATGCAGCCCAGGGAATGAGCTATTACATTTTAAAATAGGTTTTAATTTCGCTTCCAGTACCAGCGTTAGCAGAAGACGAAATACAGAAAGTGGTTTATCAGAAGCTGATGACAGTCTAACTAATTTTTATTAAACTTTACCTTCGGCTTTTATAGATTTCAAGAAGAACACTTTATTCACATTCACTTCACAGTGACTGGACTTTACAAAAAGACGGTAAAAACGAAAGGTATTAGAGTAACGAATGTTTTTAACGTATTGTTGTACATCCATAATGAGGCTGTTTCATCGATCTGTCTGTTCAGAATGATTCAAGTCAGAAGGGAAACTAACAAAATAACGACTAAGTCATTTTTAGTGGTAAAACTAAGACAGTTGTATAAAAACTAGCTGACAGACATCATTTATCATTCGAAAATCTTGTGTCTTGCTTCAAAGTTGTTAAAATAATGCAGCTTTGTTAACAGTTAGCTCTGATGTAACCATAAAATATACACACTGACGATCGGTGAAATAAATGAAATGCAAGATCACTGACACATAGTTGTCTGTAAGTTGTGCTACACCTTATGAATTTCAACAGATGAACCGTTTATTTATAGGAAACATTCTACTGCCATCAGTTCTGAGTAGAGCATTCAGAAACAATCGTCCATCTTTCTAAACAGAAAAACGGAGTTTCGTGCATCACTCCTGGTGAATTCTGCTGGCTCAATGGAAGAAAACCAACCGTGCTCTATATGTAACACAGTAAAGCAGTTGAAAAATGATCACCAATATTGTGCAAAACTTGCCTGTTGCATGCACATGCATATCCCAATGTTTCTCTTAACATGAACCAGTGAATTACTGAGTGTTTTTTATATTTCTATGATGAGTCTGTAGATGATAAACCACCTTTTTTAAGTTTACCAATGAACACGAAAGATAGCCTCAAACTTTAGATGTTACAGTTCAACAATACAACTAATCAACATCATAAAGTAGACAATGTGAATGAGAGAAGTTAGTCATAATTTCAGGGAAATCTAATAGGCATGAGTTAACATTGTGAAAGTAGTATTCATCACGCTTTACTGCTCGCTCAATTATACTTATGACAGTGAAGTTAATTCTATAAATTAATGAAGAAAGATTAGTGGAATGTCCTGAAGATGAAATAAGAGAGAAAAGAAAGATTATTTGACCTAACGATGAATTAAAAATAACCAATTATCTCTCAGATGTATAAATTTTTATTACTGTAGGGTAAAATGATAGTGAAGAGGAAGGATAATAATAACGTTTAAGATAAAGTATTCACTTGCCACAACACACAGGAAATGACCTAAATCAAAAAATGAATTACTTAAAACTAGAAGTTTAATCATAATTACATAGCAGGATAATGTACATTATTGTTGAAACCGAATATTATTACAGGTGGTATGTAATATGCAACTATATCACCATCATAGAGACTAACGATTAAATAACAATAAAGTTACACTGATATTTCAACGTCTATGATGTCATCGGGATGACTTAAGGTCCATCAGGTGAATTTTCTGTTGACTTTTAGCGTGGAATAACTGACAGATTCTCAAGGTTTTGAAGATAGGACGCAAACTTTTGATGAGAGAATGGGGTTCATACAGGAAAGCTTCGAAATCAAGTCTATGGACTAATCGAGATATTTGAATCATTTGAGACTATAGGTTGTGACGGTTAGAATTGAAATTCAAGCTCTTCACTGGTGGTAAAGGAAAAACCATTAAGTCTGTTATCCAGACTCCCAGTGTGATGAGAGCTGGCTGCAAGCCAAAATTGTAGACAGTAATTTACGTCAATGTTTACGTCCCCAATCAGGGTCATGAGAAAAACAATAACAGCTTAACCTTGAGAAAATCACCAGCCAATCACACAGGAGTTAACGTGGGCAAATATGAACCACAGATATATGGCTTGATTTTCTGAGAAACGGCCACAAGAGATAACGGAATAACCTTCAGCAAAAAACAACCAATCAGAGGACGTTGCTTCTCCGCTAACAATAATGTACATAAAAATCTATAAATACCTCATGATTTTCTCAATAAACAATCTGTTGTCTGGCCCTTGTCTTCTGTCGTTACACCAGTAGATAAAATACCTTGAATTAAAACAGACAGTTGAACCATGACACCATGGGGAGGTATAACTATGTCGGATTTTTTTCTTTAGTATAGCACACAATATTGCAGTATTCTTTGCTGTATGATAGTCCAGATACAATTTTTAGACCATACTATTACTGAACTGCAAGCCACAAAGTGCTATAGCTACTTTTGCGGTAATTTAGGCGAGGATGACTAGATACCTATCATCATTCGATGCTTATGTGTTGAACAATGGACACTTAAAGGATATACTGTCTTTAAGCAGTGGTAGATTAATAATTCAATAAGAAATAATTGAGATGTGTAACTCATGATAACGATAGAATTTGCTTTATATTTTTCGATTTTGGATATGTGACCATGAGCGGGTGACCACACAAGGCTTGGTGACATCACAAATAATTTCGTTAAGAACATGCTTTTCCCCCAAGATGAAATACTATGGCAGACAGAGAATATAAATGCATGAGACAACATAACTTACACAATTAGGAGAGCATTGCTTTATTTGCACATCCGACGGTGAATAAATATTACATCCTTCTAAACAATTGACTTCTGGTCTATACATTGAAGAGCCAATATGGGAAGTTTGCATAAATTCGTTTGTAGTTGCAGAAACGATATTACTTGAAGAAAATGATTGATTGGGTGGAGCAGATAAGACTGCTGATTGAGGACAGAAAGCTGAACTGGAATTAATTAGAAGCCGTGGAGATGTCAACTCTTTCTGACTATTAGAGAAAGAAAAACAAAAAAAGAAGAAAACCAGATTAAACAGTTTTACAGATGCCTTATGACTTACGTTAAGATACATCACTAGTCAAAGGATGATTGAAATGTGAAATGCATTCAACACAAATAGACTGTCGCTGCTGAAATCCAAACCTCTATTACCACTTCAAACATCAGACAAAATGCAATGCCAAAAGGAGTATTTACTATAGTCTCGCCAATAGTAATTACTTTACATTTATTCAAAAGACACAGAGTAGTATATGCTAACAAAGTTTAAGGAAACCAGACGGCAAAATCTTTATGCTTGAGGTTGAAAGCATACGGTTCTCCTGATTACCAAACAAGTACATTGAAACAAATAACAGACAATTCTGAATATTGGAACTCAGTCAACCGGTACAAATTTTAGGTGTACTATGCAGGCTATGAACCTCACGAGCGATGGTACAACCCAGTCGCTAAAGCTTTAATACATGAAGTGGAATTAGTAACTCGAACCCATCCACTGTAAAATACTGCAGACTGCTAGTCATATCACCAACCTTGAATGCCCCCCTTTCAATTAATTCAATATCATGGTTATGTACATATCCGTTTGAGAAAGTGATTATGCAGCGAGGCGCTGTTAATTTCTCATTTTGTGTAAGCGAAAAAGAGGAACTCAATTAAAAAAGTCTTAAAGCTGACCATGAAAAAGGCCTTCTTTACTTCATAGACGTGCAGACTTCTGCAAATGCAAACAAACCCAGTTGAGTATATCGCTTGAATGCATCAGGAAGACTGAAACCTTTACTAAGTTCCATACATTGTATTCAGTGAGAACACAGCCAATAATCACTGACATTTTATTGTGACCGGTGTATAATAATCACGCCATAGTGAATTACAATGTGTGAAAATGACTTTTGGATCCAGCCACATACATACAAAGAAGTGCAGACAAACAATAGATATAATGAACACAATAGAGAAAAAGATATCATGAATAACTGACAATGGGAAGCTAGTGTATGCGTACATTACCTCCCAAATATGCTATCCAGATAGATAGCAGATAAGAAATCTGACATTTTATAACTAATTATATTATTGGCAAATAACCTTTATAATACACTAAATAGTGTGAATGAAACAGAATAAGAGAAACACTTCAAGTAAGTGCCAAGTATTTTTTTCCCTTCGAAATATAGTATTATTATTGATGCTAACAAGCATGCACAGGATGATTGCCAAATGTTTATAATAATACAAAATTTAGGTGAATGCAAGGATGTACAATAATACCTGCAATTATCTGGTGTTGTTACGTTCTCTCACCTGGATAGTTTAGTTGTTAGGCTTTCACTGTCTTTCTCTCTCCCTATATATATATATATATATATATATATATATATATATATATATATATATATATATATATATATATATATAACATCATGAGAGTTAACTGTATGCAATAATGTAATGTCAACACTAAATGTTTGTGAGTGAAACTGTATGGTCACGCCTACCACATGGGGTACAGAGACACAATACCCTATATACAAACGACAAAACAGTTGTAGGCCTTAGCGACAGTGGACAAAATGTATTGAAAATGTATTCTAACAGCAGATGCAATGTGCTACTTAAGTTGAAATCGAGGTGAAACAACGCCAACAATCACATGCCAGCCAAAGCAAATTACAACGTGAAATTGTGAGTTCTCTGAACACTCACACCGTCTTAATAGATATCATGTATATAAACATACACTTCAGATAACAGGACACAGAACAAATCCCCGCTTAGTAGCTGCATATAAATCCTACATTCATCTATTCATCCTGAGCTTACTCAATTTCCTCTATCCTTCTCAAACTATTATTTCATACTATTTATGTTAATAAACTGAAACAGTTTCTGCTGCTACTTGTTGATTTTTTTTGATTTTTGATTATAGCTTGAAACCACACAGTATTTTTGGTACAAGTATGGAATTTTCAGCATTTGATATCGGTAGCCCAAATTTTGTAGGCCGACTATAGATATCAGGTGTACGTCGGCAGGTCATCGAACCCCGGACCATGTGCATGGTCGGCAAGAGTCCTAACCGCTGTGCTACCGACGCTGATGAGCTGTCCTGTTGCCAATTGGTATTTCTGGCAACTAAGAGCAACGCAGGACAGTGTTAAAGTTTTGACATCTCCCAGTGCGTTTAGTTAAAAAAAAGTTAATTTATGGGACATCTAGGCAATTTAAACAGGATAACTGGTATGTAGTGGGGATTTGGTTGACTTCAAGGCAAACATCAGTAAGAAAACATTCGAAAACCAGAGAGCAATGCAGAACTATTTTGTTCTACCTTGAAACTCTTCAACAATAGCCGCCTCTGAGTCTAAAAGGAATCAAACGAAGTATCCTAAGGTTCATTATAACAGAGCCTTATAAATCTTTACTTCAACCGACAATATAACTCCAGCGTTACTACCTAATAATCTGGCAATATTAAACTCAACAAAACGGGTATCTAGATCTCCTTGGTTTTCAAACTGATATCAGCTGTCCAGTGCTCCCTGATTTTAAATGGTTCTCTAACTGATATCAATCCGTGGTCAAACTCGTAAAAACAAAGCACTTTGCCAGCTGATTCAGTACGCCATACTGAACAGCAACACAAGCTTAAATGACAACACAACAGATCACACGGTTAACATTTTCAGAAGTCCCTGAATACTCTCTAGACTGAACACTATGCATTTACCTATCAGCCACAGACAAAAGAACAAGTGTCTCCATAATACCGTTATTTCATTCAGTGCAATGAATCTCTGGACACTTCATGTGGAATAACAATTTCGAAAAAAAGGACTATACTGCGTCTGTGAGATATACATATATGCAACACAGGAGACTGCTAATATTCAACATACAATGGATAATTAAAGTAATAGTAAAATCCATTTGAATCAGAATTCGTACAACTCAATTTCCTTTTGAGCTAAAAATATTACCAACATGTCATCATTACACGAAGAAAACGAGGTAGAAGAAATAAAAGAGGCACAGAAATCAAACACACCGCGTTGAATTTATAGTCACCAGAAAAATATTCAGTTGTCTGTCATTATCTTTTCAAATATACATAAGTGGCGCCGCAGACTTAGAATATTCCGCTACTCATTATATGACCCGTTTAGTCAGTTGTCTGCACCAATGAGAAAAAACATCTACTAAACGTTTTCCATTAAAAAGATGATGAATGAAAAGTTTAGTCAATTCTCCAACGAATAATAAGCCTTGACAAGTACGTAAGCATATAACCTCGTCCTGAAGAATGAAGGTCCAACAGACGAAATTCGTAAAACAATTAAGCAAAGTGGCTAAAGAAATCACTTTCGACAAGCAATATAATAAAATATAAAAGCAACGGTAACAATAAAAAGACTTCCTGAGACACAGAGCAAAATTTTTTTGTAGAGAAAGGCTGGCTCACAGACACTCTAATTAAAAAAAAACGGTATAAATAGCCATGCCAAACATTATTATGGCTAAGAAGGAATGCAATGGGATGTTAATCAATAACAACTTGCCATTCCATACCAGTAGTACTGAGTCACACCCATTATGTAAGGGCTAGTGATACTATCTTCGATAGGTGGAGTGGGGTTCCAACCACTGATCTACCGGTCGGAAGTCAAGCATCTAAACCAATGAACCACAGCTCCACGTAGCTAAGAACTTTGATAAGGAAATCTACATGAGGTTGTTGCAATATAGGTGAGCAAGAACTGTTCTGTGCTAAAAATAGTATCCATGATAAGTACTTGTAGAATAGCGTTAGGAAAAAGGAATAGTGATATTGAAAAAATGGAAAATTGTCTAAATGCACTACTAAAAATTGTAATTGAACAGGTTTATAAGCGCTTTGGTGACACAATAACTTAAAAAAGTAGATGTACTACTGCAACCAGTTTTTTTAGCTATTGGGAAGTGTAGATTTATTTATCGAGAAAATGAAGCAAAGAAGTATTAACAATTTCAGATGACAAACACGAAGAAAAACATGTTCTGTAAGACTTATATATGCAGACTTACTAATTTTCAGAAGGAATAAGGAATCACTAATTTGTCATGCCATGAGTCGCATTTATTGTGCGAGAGATAATGACGCTAGTCACTTGTTCCAGTTTAAGTAGGTGGAGTGGGATTCGGACCTCGGACCCAAATCCAAAGTCCACTAGAATGCAACAGATTTGGTAAAAAGTAAGTGAGAATATTTGTTCAGGGTATTTCTATCCCAAGAAAAGTCGAAGTGAGTCATCCAAAAATAAATGCCTTTAGAGAACCACCAAGGGAAAGCAACTCATCAAAGGTTTAAAAAACACTCATACTTCTACTTACACAGAATAAAACAGTGGAGCATTGTTAGACCTTCTCACATAAAATCATGACATAGCCTTACAGTCTACCATGTGGATAAAGCAACACATGGGGGGACGGTAACACGCATCATTTTCAATCACCAATACACTGAACAGTCTCTTATTACCCTCATGATAATCGGAAAAGCCAAAAGAATAAAATTACCCGTATTCATCACAAAACTTCAAATGGTTACGGCTTATCACTCATAAATACCGTTTAATCGACAAAAAGAAGTTACGAGGTGATTTTATGGTAAGAATCAATCAGTTCACTAGTGTGTAGGCAACTAGGGAGGCAAGAGTGTAGAATAAAATGCTTTTCGTCCTTGTAGAAATCGTCATACTGGTTAACTACAGCAGTATGAAAACGAAGTGATGAATTTGAAAACGAATATTTATTATCCCACTTCAGCTTCTAACCGATTATTATTGTTACTTCAAGATTTTGTGAGTTTGATCCCAAAATATGGAGACACAGCAGAAGCGTAGAGTAAGTTACAATAACTGGTCCACTTAAAATATGTTGACAGAAAATATTTCAAAATCAAGCAACTAACCTCCGAAAGACGAAGACCAAAAGCACACCAACTGACCGTAATACATTCATATAAATATACAAAATATCAGAACTTTCAATGCATTTTTGATCTGCGCATTCATTGCTTTTATTTTGAGGGGAATATAGAGCTTCAAGACTTGAAATACCATTATTGGTGTTGTTTTTTACGCGGCAGGGTTCTTAGCCTTAAGCTTAACCTACTCTGTTTTCCGAGGCAACCATAGGCTAGACGAGGTTTAAGTGTCTGTTGGCCGGGAATCGAACTTGGATCTGGCTGGCGAGCATTTTACCATTGAATCACCGACATATGATCTAAACATTTACTACAGCGAACACAAATAGGAATTCAAATTGCAATTCAAACCGGAATTCTATTAAACTTAGGAAGAAACAAGTAGGAGAAAAATTACAAAAGGTATTTATTAATATAGTCTGCTAATTCCTGTGTAAAATAAAAATTGTTGGTGTAAACTTTCACCTTCAATGAAGTAGAGTGAAGTCAATTTTTTTCGGGCACCTCAACCCTGAGTGTAAGCTGGTCTATTTTTGATTTCTTTTTTAAATCAATGAACCAATAACATACTGTTTACTATACGCAACACGTAAACTGGTAAAACGAATATGGGCTGAAGATGAATTATGATAGATAGACAATGTTTTGTTTTTGTTAGTTGTTGATTTATCATTCTAACTTACTTAACTGATTTGCCATCATTGGGGAAAGCATTAACCATGGTTTCAGGTAACTGAGTATATCGAGGCGTCTAAAGGTGAAAAATATAAACAAAGCAAAAACTGGAGTTAAAATCAAACGCATAAAAGAGAAAATGAGAAACATCTGGCAACAAGAAAACTGACGAGTATTAATTAGCTTTGACAATTGAAAAAAAGTGAGGGGGGAATGATAATTTCACCATATACAGTGATTAAACTCAAATATGAGCCCTTTTCTCATTCCTTAGCGTTACGAGTGGAACGTAGAGCTTTGAGTTTTGAAGGTTTCGGTAGCAGTGGTGCTGTTGCTTTTACGGGATAAGGTTGTAGGGGTAAACACCCAGTTCATCTACCTAGGCTACAACTTTTCTACATCAACTGCCAAGTTTTAAAAGGATGAAAACAGAGCTTCATTTTCAGTATTTACTACTGAAAAAAAACGAATACACGTGTACCCTAGCTAGTTTACTGTAACAACGGCAGCATAGAGTGAAATGTGATGTTATGTATATATATGACTTACCGATAGACGGTCATCAAAGCTAACTGATTGTCCTTTAGGTCTATGACACGGTTTTGTAGGAAGACTGTTTTGCTCAGAATGACCATGACTACTATCCACAATCGTAGGAGAAAACATTCTAACTCCAGATTTCTCCAGTTTTGAATTTGACAGAAAACTTTCAGCACACAAGCTATAATCTGATATAGACGGTTCATCGTATATATTACTACTGCTGTTACAGGATGATGCATCTATATACAATCGGAATTGACGTTCATTAGCTGAAGAGTAAATTGTAAAAAGTTAATAAATGAGACTATCACAGCGTACATCTATAGCCTACATTATTATTATGTAATATATAGACTAAACTCTACTAATGAAAACATCCATTATGTCACACTTGTGAATTTGTTATACTGATACAACAGCTTAAAAACTATTCAAGGTAAAAGTAAAATTTGGACACTGTGTTACATAATTCGATAGTAGATGATATGGAATTATATGCTACTACTATTACTACCATAGTGCTTAAACTCTACACTCTAACAACAATTATACTTATGGTCTCTTTGTTCGGAGACTCACATGACTGTCACAGGCAGTTTTGCGAATAGTCGAATTTTTATCCAGCTATTAATACTGTATCAATGTATTATTTAATAAGTAAACTTATCTAAAATGATAACTTTAATACTTATTTCCTCTTCATACTTTTCATCAAGGATTTGTATGCTGAAAATGTTACTGTTTTATCGTTAAATATACTCATTCTTAGCATGCCATGAGTAGTCCATCTAAATAGTCGAAAAACACTGCCTGAGTTAAACATGCAGATAAAATAAAAACAAAAGGTTGTGAGATCATTATTTTAAAGAAAATTGCTTACTGGACAATGAACGATCTTTAGACAATGGAGTACAATTATTTGGAAGGTTATTAACACCAACCGGAACTTTATTATGTATACTTCTGTCAACAGTGTTGCTTTGATACTTCCACCTAGTATAACGGTCTTTTGGATAGCTTGTATCTATACTTAACTTCATATCGATATGAACATCGTGAATGTGTGCTTCTGCTCTTCTCTGTGACGGTGAGAGTTGTTTCACTGATGTAGTACTTAAAGATGCAGTAGCAGTAGTAATGGTGGATTGAAGGCTTTCATGTTGAGAGTTTATGACTGTTGAAGGGTTAACCATTCTCTGCGTTGAATCCTGCAAAATAAAGTCAATCATAAGTAAACTTAAGTGAAACCATAATTAGGTATAAATTCTATAAGGATAAACTTAAAGAACTTTAGGACTGCGGATAGTAAAGGTGATTTCTATAATTTACGTGCTCTTTGAAATACTGCATTGCAGTAATGCTTTATAATAGAGTTTTCGGCGGATAATGAGATGACGACGATATCAAAGCAAGGATCGGGAAAGCAAGGCAAGCTGTCATTACTCTCAAGTCTGTGTGGAAATCAACAGCACTCAGCATGAAAAACAAGATGCGGATTTTCAACTCCAATTTGAAGTCAGTGCTACTTTATAGATCAGAGACTTGGCGCGTCACGAAGAGCACTTACAACAAACTACAAACCTTCATCAACAGCTGTCTTCGCTCAGTACCTCGCTCAAGATCATAAGGCCAGAAAAGATCAGCCACAGGGATCCCTGGCAATGAACGAACCAACCAGGAACCGATTGTGCAACAAATATGCAGGAAGAAATGGAGATGGATTGGCCATACTCTGAGGGAACCATCAAAAGACAGGCCCTTGAGTGGAACCCAAACAGGAAGCGGCGAGTTGGTCGTCAGTGCAAAGGTGACATGGAGGAAGTCATGTGGGCAGACGTGGAGCCAGGAGAAAACGTTGGCAGAGAACCGAACGCAATGGAGACGGGCGGCTGAAGCCCTATGTTCCTCTAGGAATTAAGGGAAACAATAATAATAATAATGAGATGACATCATTTCGTGGTTTCTCTGCAACAACGCTACACATTGTATGGTTGACGATAATAAAATACTTTAAAGTACTTTCGAATAATTTTATATAAAATGACACATTAAGATACGTTAAATGATCACTCAAGAGTAGTCAATATGATGTGTATACTCCCTAGCATTAATGTTGAAGGAATTCTGTCAGGCAAGTTTGCAATGTGATCTTCAAGGTAGGTACATTTATAATTGATGTTAAATGGTTAGAGGCAATCAACAAGAAGCCATAATCATTGCAAAAAAGTCAAGACGAAGGATGAACTACGTCATTTTCGATAAATATAAATGAATATGATGGATACAGAATTCTTCTTTGCATCCCTCTGTTTTTTTAATGGTCACAATAACCATACGGGACTTGTTTCTACTTATGGTATTAAAACATTATATTAGATTTATCCATGTGCATGAGTGTATTTTGATAATTATAGGTAAACACGGAATTACAGTGTGGGGTAGAATAGGGTAAGGTTTTTTGCTTTTATCATGAGCGGTAAGAGTGAAAAGTGTCTTTGAGACCAGGAAAAGCGACGAGGTGTAAAACGTTTATTTGACAGCACACCGAATCCAATGAGCTATCGAGTGTATGATTTCATCTCCCCTGAATGTTAGTTTGACAAGACGACTTTCTTTGTTCCAGTCTCTGATTTTTCAGTGAGTAATCCCTTTTTTCTGTTACTGTGAAGTACAGTGCACTTTTTAGAACACCAAACATCCAGGAAAATCCTTTTTTAAAGTTACAACTGAATCAGTCTACCTAAATAAATAAAACACAGCACACAGAAAGGGGTGTCTGAGCCAACAGTAAATATACTGGTCAATTGTATGCGATTTCGGGAAAAGTTTACTGCTCAAAAACCTATAAAGTTGTCCACTCAACCTTAAGTATATTCTGTTCAAACGACAAAATCCTTAATCCATAATTGCACTACTAAATATATGACTTGTGAGTAGTATCCTTTTCATCCTGCAATTTTTATCCAGTACGATGCAGGTGACCATAATTTAGATAAACCTTCATATTAGGCAATGCCAAAACCGACTAAAAGGAGTATTTTATTTAATGATAAGGTATTAATGTGTCAACTAAGTGGAATACGAGTTGTTAAATCAGCAGATAAGTATTCTGATGGTTGGTACTACTTTAAAAGTTGGCAGTGAAATGTTGAAACTCTGATGGAATTATGATAATAGTTAGTGAAACTATACTTGAAGGAGAGTGAGATATTTTTTAAGGAAATATACTGCACAGCAACATAATAGATCATATCTTTAAACATGAGTGACAATCGTTCATTGGACCTCGATTTCTCCAATTTTTTCGTGCAGTCAGTCCCAGCTGGCACAACATAACATAAAAGGAATTAGTGCTGGAGGAATAATGTAAGTCTTTTTAAATACGGTAGAATATAATTTCAAAAGTGAACACAAAGCGTAAACCGAGAGTGAGGTAAAACCAAGTAAAACTCTGAACACTTAGATCGTACGCAAAACAAGATAGAAATGTTCTACGAAAAATCACCTCATTCAAGTGTGAACTCGACTTTTCATCACTATCTATGAAAGCTTTATAATTCAAGAGTAAGGATTCGTGCAAGAGACAATCAATACACTGTAGATTGGTTGTCTTTTGTTTTAAATCAGATGTTTTTTGTGATGATTGCAGCAGCATTGTCTTATTCTTGTCATCATCATTTTGTTTAGCATAACGTATCACAGTGAGAACAACTTCACAGGTAGCTGATGACACCAGTTGTACAGCAGCATCTTGAGACAATCCTGTAATTAACTGGCCGTTAACAGATATGAGTCTATCACCGGTCTGTAGGTATGGTGGAGTTAATAAGAATTCATTGCATTTTGTTACATGAGTTTCATTAGGCCTTTGAAGTAGTCTTGCATGACTAGCTCCACTTCCTGGATTGATACCACGAACATAAATTCCCAGATCTTGTCCGTATTCTGACTGAAAGAAAAACGAAATATTGAAATTTCAAATTAGAAAGATTTTAAGTAATTAAGGGACCCTTATTCACATATAGTAGCTTGGATAATCTAATATTCAGGAGGCATATATCAGGGTATACTAACAAACATTGAGGGATTTGAACTGGCATACTAATGTTACTCATTGTGATAAAAAAAACTACACCAATTTCGTAATAACTGCAAATTAATAACTAACTAAATCAAACAAAAAACACGGCCTGTAACCTGATCCATAGGTATGTAGGTTATTATTACAATTATTGACTTCTGTTTTCCTTAAATGTTAAAAAAGCAACTGCATCTCCAGTAAAAGAGACGACATCCCCAAGCAATGCCATTATTTTGATTACAAGTATGTGACCAGTAGCTTGAAACTGTTCTCTACCTGCATTTTATTATCCACTCGAGTAGTATACTGTTCACCGCTATTTTTACAAACTATGATTGTTTAAACATCTACAAGTAACTGGGACCACTTAAAGACAAGTTATAATTTGAATTATAAAATTATTTATCTACGTTCAACTTATGACACCAATCCATGATTTTTCCAAATAGTATAGTGAAGCCTATAGAGAAGTGCACTTTGCCTGTCTACGTAACAATATATTAAGAGCAAGTCATCGAGAAATCACGGTGACATACGTGAAAGCTGTCACTGATAGAAGATCTAGTTTAACAGTCTAGACCATTAGGACTAGAGTGTTTTAGAAAATACATTAGTATGTTGTGGGTAATGATGAAAATACATGATAATCTCTTGGCATTCAAAGACACCACATAGATTAGTTTCAAGACATCATTTTACAAATATATCTCGAAATTTCAGTCTTGTAACTAAGGTGGAAAGTATAGATTTCACATTTCATCTTGTAGAGAATTAAGTCCTTACCATCTTAGGGATAGCTGGTTGATCAGAAAAAGAGGAAGTGGATAACTAACAGCACGGACAAAAATAAATATGCCATAGAACAATGAAACAAAAATAATTCATTCAGTAACTCACTCTAGCAGCGACTATACTAAGACCTAAACTTTGTCCAATTTTAGGCACAACAACTGAATATGTACAATGTCGACTGCACAACTGACCAAATACAGAATGATTCTTTAGCAATGATGATGAAGATGACAACCGATTTGAAAGAGATTCATTGTTTTTCCCAAGAGTGACTGAAGTTGTTACAATTTTCGCTGCCTGCTAGAAAAGTGTTAAAAAGAAAATTCGAGTAGTCAATTACTGGTGCAATACATCATTACAACATATATTATGAGTCGCCATAAAACGATTAAATTGAAACGCACAGTGCTTAGGAAATCATAGAAATCTATAAAAATGCATGGATTTTATTATTATTTTTTATACTCCATGAACACATTGAAATTATAATAAATAAATTCACAAAGATTAAGACAAACTAACTTTTCAAATCCCTCCAGAAATATTTTAACATCTATGGTCATGATACTCTTATGAACCTGTTGTCACTTAGGATAACAGTGAATGCATGAAGGTAGAGAAGTGAAATTGTTTTTGTTGGGCTTGAAGTAGAATGAGACTGGGATCAATAGCCAACTGATATATCAGCCTAGAATACACCGATGTAAAATCTTTCTTTTTAATAGCAACGACTTTTGTCTATATTTTGAATGATCAGTGTATATTTCGATTCAAAGCCACACTGTATGAATGCAATAAAATGCAAATTGGGATATGTTCTACTTCGACCACTACAACAGTTTACTTATAACTGTATACGCAACTGAACATCACGCTGACGAAGGTAAAACATACGCGAAATACATAATGGAAAGTAGTAAAATACTATGAGATTAAAAATAAAGCCAATTAGATAGTGTAATACTACGATTTAGAAGGAACTAAAGGATAAATAAGGACATGTCAATACAATCATTTCTAGATCGTATGAGTTACGACTATCTTGGGAACGAAAACCGGGAAATCTTAATCTCTAACTCCTTCGTAACACCAGTCGATCGATGGCTTGGTGAGTAGGTCTTATGACACTGGCTATTCATCTGTCGCCTTCTTTGAATCTCTCTACTTCAGATAACATAATACGATAGATAGACTGTGGGTAGGGTACTTTCACTTACTTCAAAGAGACCGAATCGATGAAGATTTAATGACTCACTTCTCTTTACAAGAGTTTATGCTAAGTTAATAAGTTGTGCAGATGGTACAAGAAAGGTACTGGTGGTCAAATATATAAACAGAAAGGAAATCAACGTCTACTTTCATTATACAAATACGTGAAAATGTAAAATAGTTCCAATAAGAAAAACCTGTCTTTAATGCACTGTAGTTATATGCTGATTACTGATAATCTGGTATCAATAGGTGGTGCCCCATTGAGCTTTCCGACTGATGAAGTGTAATCTGCAAGCATTAAGTCAATCGTTTAGAGTCTTAACTAAGACTATTTGAGACGTGCTTAAGCATAGTCTGAAGACTGAATGATTATAATACAACGATACAAACAACATGTCTACACTCAGTGTTAGTTTATGAACCAACTTGTGAGCCACACTTTATATGTTAGGGCTATCGAGACTACCCAATGAAGCAGGTGATATTAGAAACCAATGGCCTGAAGCCCGTGAATATGATAAAGCCACATCTAGAAGCAACACAGATATATAATGTATTGTTGAACAGTATTTCCAAACGGATATAAATATGATGTTTACGTTAGCTTTATTGTTATGTGAAACAAAGACACGAATATTTATAAATCAGTATTACCGATTGTCAGTTCTACGCATCAACTGGAGTCTGGATTGTGTAAACACTACTAGAAACAAAAGTAACTTCTCGGTGAAAAATATGCGTAAGTAGTGTCGTATATGTAATATTAGTCTTAACAGCAATACACTGAATAGCCGAATGACTCTTTAGTAATTTGGGACTGTTGCTTGACGGTTACAAATTCACTTTCACAATGAAAACTGAAATTCAGGTTTACAATGATTTATGACAATTCTGCTTCATGGAACTTCTAAAAAAAAAAGATTTTCATCGTTCCATCTCTCAGAGAGTAAACGTAAACTGGTTTTTGAAAAATATAATTCTGTAAAATATTTATTCCAACGAATGGTACGTGAACAAATGATTTATGTTTTCAGATTTCTATGGCATCATGGAGAGTTATGAACTAGAGAACCATTCTAACACTGATAAACACTATTCCTGCATTGAGTAGGAAGAGAGAAGCCTGTATTTATCAACTGCAATCAACCTGTTGTAAATTGTAATATATTATTAGTTTAGTAAGATAGTGATGCATAATATAAACTAAAATTTATATACCGTTTGATTTGCGCACTGTACGCTTTCAGTGTTGGGGTTTACAGACAGTGTGACATGTTCATCTGACTTGATAGTATCAGCTTTTACACTTTCACAATCGACGGATGACTTGGGATCGATTAGATAAACATTCCACCTTAAAAAATGTGTTGGATTCTGAGAGATACTCATCCGCCTATCTGATAACGTCTCATCAACTGATGTAGATGTATTGTCAACACGATGAATACTGGATTTCATAGATATGCGACACCAGCCGATTTGAATAGCAGGATTGAGAAAATGCTTAATTGATTCAACAGTAATCACAGGTGTACTGACATTTTCACTGGATGGCTGATGCTTTTGATCTTTTGTTGAACTGCTTCGACTGCATACACCACTGTCATCGTAACTGACAAGAGATTCCTCTTTTTGTCCTACAACAGGTAACGGATTATCCGAAGGATAACAATCTTCAGGCAATAGAAAGGGTAGGTGAAGATCGAGTGGTTCTCCAAGTTCTAAAGGTTTCGATTTTGTCCCACTGTCAGGAATTGTGGTATTTTTATCCATTTCATCTAAGTCGTCGTTTGTTAGAGACATACTTTCTTCAGTAAGGATTCGATCTGCAACCTGAATAATACAATAAGGTTTAATAACATTTATTATATCATGATATTTTGCAATATTTTCATGATCACAACTATGCTAAGACACAAGTTATTGCCTTGAATTCATTTGCAAACCTACTAAATTTCTTGATTCTAACAGAGAAATATTTAAAAGAATGTTGTAAACCTCCTTTATGACATAATTACATTATAGAAGATAACTGAAGTATCAAAGGTTTGCACAACACCTGAATTAAAATCCACCAGAATAATTGGATAACTGTTGAGAAGGACATCAGCAGTAGTTTATTTTTTGGGAGTAATGAGAAAGGCGTTGCACAGTAATATGCTGTACCTTGATAAATTTACTTGATGGCGTGTTTATTGTACACTAAACAGAAATTTGAGAAATCACACCATAGCAGTGTATGAGTGATTTGCTTACTCAGATCACATGGCGTGTTTAGCATAAGCATATGACTATGAGGAATATTTATCTGCGTTGTGAAACCCATTACACTTACAAAGAAGAGTAAGGAAGCCATTCATAGAGTAACATAGAGTAACCACGAACTTGCTCACCATATTATACCACCTAAGACAGTAGATAGAAAGTAAACACCTATGGTCAGAAAAGATTAGTCTTCTCAAATCTTCTGCCTTCAACAACCATATCTCACAGCTATAAAGAAGGATAGAGCTAACTGCTGCACAGCACACATTCTCTGATAGATAGCCGGACATCATGTCTAGGTTAGAGGTGACGTTAGTTGGCGAATGCCGAACGATTCTTACGCATATGTGCCGAGATTTGTCTATCAGTCGGCGCATCAAGGCTGATGCGAATACCCTAATAAGTGAAGTGGTCAACACTGTCAACCATTTAGCTCTCTATCTTTAAACTGCAAGTAAATGAAGACCAGTCCGGTAACATCATGCTACATTGCTGAGTGAGTTCGAGTATGCTGACTGTCTTGATTAGTTTATAAACTTCCTCACAACTCTACTAGCAGACAGATTTTCCGTATCAACTCTCCACCTACGGAGTCAAATTCCGCCTTCAGGATGAGGCGCATGATATGTGTTGGGCGCCACTAAATACGCTTATGTTTCAGAATCTGTCAAACAGTGATGTGATCAATACAACCTCGTCTGGATCTAAAATCTGCCCAGTTCCCACGGTTTTATTTTTCTCGAGCACCGCTTAGTCTACGCATGATTATTGAATTTAGAATTTTAGATACTATGTTTGTCGTGATGAATTATACGAAAAGTACACGTGCAAATAAACGATTAATTCGTTTATATCCAAAGCGAAAAGTGAAAATACACACCCATGGTCTTAATATTCAACAACCTGAGTCACTTCATAATCACACAGATACGCACTCTGCAATTAGAATAATTTAAGACAGACAGGGCAGACATGTAACAACACAGTTGATGATACAGTCTAGTTAGCAACGCTGTAAAAATAATAATAAATACGCTTTTCATCCCTATTAACAAATTTGTCGATATATAATGGATAAATGAAGAAAAAAACATATTTTTCTAGTCAACATGATCAAATTAAGCAGACAGGAAAGTGTGTTTACGGTTAACATGAACAACAACAAGAGCAACAGGAAAACAAGAAATTCATGCTAATGCCAAGTCAATAAAGAATAATAAGGAATGCATTAATGGTGGTGATTATAATTAATTAACAATTAACAGTTAGTTGTAGCATTACCAGTTTCACACCGGAGACAACAAATTCAATCCAAGCCTTTGGAATTTGGCCTGAATTAGATTTGTCTGACGAGGTAGTAGTGGTATTAGAATTGGTAGTGGGGGTGGTTTCATTTTCACTGGACCCATCGTGTAATCGATAGCTTTCGAGCAATGCCCGAACTTGACGTGAATTTAAGCTAACTAAATCAACAGCCATATTGTACAAACTTTCAACAGATTTCATATTACACAGCATCAAATCAGCAGCCTGAAAATAAAAATTAAAAAAGGAAAGATATTGGTAATGGTGAGTTGAGGGATACGTTCGTTGAGCATGAATTCTAACAAGAAGTCATACTCTTGTTATTGCACAGCTAAATTAATTACCAAAAACATCAAAGAATTTATAAAAGCACCCATGAAACTGAGAAAGATAAGATGCATTAATTGAATCCAGACGGTGAGATATAAGGAGCTTTATGTGTCAAATTCTCAATAATCTATGTGCTAGGAACACTTCTTCTGGTAATGTCACGCCTATCCTTTATTTTCTGGGCTTAAAACCGTCTCATAAACTAGACAAGGCTTAAGAGTACATGGGCCAGGAGTCGAACCCGGACTTCCCGAGTGGTTGGCGACCATTCTACCATTGAACCACCGAAGCGATATAACAAAGTTAATCCGTATACTAAGCACTGTTGCTAAACATGTGACACACTATTTCGATTTTAGTACACACCTTTCAGTGTCAACCTCAGGGATGTTACCAGTGTGAAATTCAGACAGCAACTCCATCAACGTTAAACGGTGACATGCAGATGATCAAACAGCAAATTTCTATGATGTAACTCAAAGCTAACAATAAAAAAGTGATATAAAGTTGAAGGAATGGGGATAAATGACAACAGACGAATCAGTTTCACAGTGATATAATATAGCAACTCTACACGGATTGTATACGTGTAAAATAGTACCTAGAAGGTAGTCTATGTGGTGACTTCATCAGAGTCAATCGATCAGGTGTGAATTTAAGTATGATAACACTAACAAACAGTGTAATATAGGAGTAAATGTAAGTAGTAGGTCAGTGGGATGGCGTGAATTCATGTTTCTTTCTTGTGGATGACGGTTGGCACAATGAATCTTAAATCGGGAGGAAATGAATTTCTATTCGCTTGTTGGAGCATGAGTCATTTCGCTTCAGCATTGAGGACTTTACAATCTATACTCCAAGACAAAAACTAATTCTACACAGAACTGGATCATATTACCGTATGGTAACGGCGTGAAAAACCAATTACCATGTGTGCACAATTTGAAACGAATTAGCCCATTGTGAAATATTTGGCAACAGAATTATAAATCACATTGAGAAAAATAGCTTAGATTACAGAATTAACCCAAATAGTGTATTTTGAATCACCTACCCAATGACCAGTTGAAAGAGTAATTGCATCAAAGTGATTACCGTTTTTCAGTCATACTTTGGTTGCTGGGTGTTACGCTAGGCAGTCAATCAGTAACAAATCATTTGAGTACTAATCAAACTGTTACCACCCCTTGTGATTGTAAATAGGAGTGAAATACCTCAGTGTTTATGTGAAGAATAATGAACAATTGTATGTACGTCATTTAACTGACATTCGTTGATTAAAGTAGGGGGACATGACTTCTTTCAAGATTGCAGATATGCCTTGCTAACAAGTGCCGATAAACACGAAACCTAGGTCCAAGGCTTCCTGCCGATTGCCTCCAACCATCTAAATAACAAAATTTCAGGTTGCATCATGATAGCTAGCTATCTACCATGGTGGTCACATTGCCGACTTGACTGAAAGAATTCAGTCTACGCCAAACAAAGGACCAGATCCATGACACTTGTTACTAGTGTCCAATTAAACCAAAATCTAGTGTCTGTTTCTAGTATCATGGCTCTCAGCAAAGCTATAGGTAGCCAATGTAGAGCTAATTGTGTGGATTTTATAGCGATGCAGATTTTTTAGTTCAAATTATAACTAGTGACTAGCTGTGAATGTCTTTACTACTGAATAATAATACACGACGATCGCATTTTATATGATGAAGATAAGAACACAAAACGGAAAGAAAGGCCGAAATAAATTGTTAAATAAAACAAACCCAATTTAATACACATGTCATGGTAAAATAGGAAACGGAAGCAAAACCAGACGGTATTATAGTCAAATGCATATAGATATGAGAGATGAAGAATAGGCAGAAGGTCAGAATCTACGGTATAATAAAATATGCTTTGGACAACAACCTCCCTCCCCTGTTTTAATATACTAGATTTTAGTACTGTTACTTTTCCCCATGCTATTGTATAGTTGTGTGAGGCTGCGCGCAGTTCTATAACTGGGCTTTCCCTATAATTTATTGTTTTACAGTCTACTGGTTTAGAATTCACAGAACTTTTATGTTCCGTTAACCTAATTGATCCGCACATTCACTGCATGCGACGAGATAAACTCTGAAAGGTGACGACAGATAATACAAATCGATCCAATAACTACGGTATGGACATCCTTGAGTTCTAATGAGTAGATGTTATTGATGAGGTCAATCAAGTTAGGGGTGAAGAATGATACTACGAGATAAAGTTGCATAATGGTTGCTCTATACTGTGAATTACAATTTATGAGTCATTGTATACTGAGCCAGTAGCTAAATGGTATCCTGAAAGTCCACCACTCGATCCCTGGTGGAGTTGTGGTTGCATACCACAAAAGAGTCTCAAACTAGAATTAGACTGCTGCGCAGTAATTCCTGGCTTTAAACGGTTCACAAACTGATGTCAGCATGTGAAATATATATATTTCCAACCGTCACTTCTCAGCATCTCGCGTAATCAAGTCGGACGCCATTCATACAGAGCTCAAATTAGTACTAGTAATCTTATAATTGTGAACTGCTTTCTCCCTTCTCTTTTTAGAAGCCAAGCAATCTCACAGTACTTGTCAATCTGAGAAATAAAAAATATAACTCTTAAATTACAGAATATAGCAGATATCTGACGCAGGTATCTGTGTCAGGGTTCGGAATTTGATGAATACATAGTGGTTCCTTCGCATTTTTCGGTCTCCAGAACGTCAATTTTTATACAAATGATTATGGAACGCATTCAATTGGACTATATGAATATTCTTCTAACAGTTCTATGATGATCTTACGCTCCAGCTATTGATTAATTCTAGATGAAACAATTGATGCATTAAACACGAACACAGATTGGAATGATTGATAAAGATGAATTATATATATATATATATATATATATATGCAGTTCTTCCTATACAACTGTCATTTTTCAGAGTGAGAGAGACAGTGATTGATAAATAATGGCCGAGTGGAATTAATGATTTACAATCTCTCAATTTGTTCAACAGGAGTAGAGTGAAGCCAAAGATTACAAAAAAGAAGAGAAAATACACACTGAAAATTGACACCAAAAGCAGAAAAGAAATATTTACTCATTTGTCTGTCAAAAATTAATGCGAAGAATTAACGCTGTTGCATTATCGCCCATATATATATATATATATATATATATATATATATATATATATATACTTGGCATTATAGCAAGTCATTAAATCAAGAAATATCCCTCAATTTCAGTTATAGGGGGAGTAAATAAACTAGACAGTTGAAAAAAGGGCAATTATCGTTTTGAAGAACACAGTTTCACAGTTACGCACTCAGACAGACAGACAATTTAAGTGTAAAAGATGAAATGTTCCAAATGAACGTCTGTGATGAAGAAGTCTCCCAAGATTTTATGGCTACTGTACATCCAAGGCTGATTTCAGTGCATAGAGGGAACTACCTTTAAGTCAGTTATCAGAATAAATTACTATACGTTAGTATTTTAAAGATGTGAATTCTTATAAGGGCAAAGTTAAAGTAGCATAGCCAAAGCCAGGATCAGTAAAACAAAGTTGATCTTGAAAGGCCAATTAGGTTTAGAGAATGCTACGTAAGTTTCTTCCAAATCAAATCCTGCCTGCATTTATGATTTGATGAGAGTGGGTACAGTATTCTACTTATTTTCTAGGTACTTTCTTCCCTAAATCTACATCATTAGGTAGGGTCAAGAATAGGATTAGAGTTCCGGTTGGGTTAAAGAACAGTGTCAAGAATATAAATAGATCCCAAAGTACCATAATCTACAGTCATCTGGATGAATACATTGGTCGCGCATAGTATGATTTCTCCATGAATTATGCTTAGAGTAACTGGGAGACATTCTTATAACACATGAGAGACAATTATCCACTGTAATATCATGTTTGTAATGTTGTTTAGCGAATTTGTCTGACGATTATGCAACTCTTTTGCATCTGAACTCTGACTAGTTGCTCAACGTCAAAGTGGTTTTAGCTGTGATAGTTTAACTTCGCTCTTCAAAGGTCTAGTTGGCCACATCATAATGTATAAAAACATTGTGGTTCTTTTGCCATGTAAAAGTCTGAAAACGCCAATAAATACATGATACTATATAGAGTGTCTTACCTGACTGATCCTTTGAAGATAACATTCAGTAGCTAAACTTAGGCCTTGTTCAGTAGCCCAGTCACCTAGACAATTGTGAATCCAAGCGTATAAACAACTACCCCATAAAGGTGAAACATGCGTTTGATCAGTCTGTTTATTCTCCTTCTCATTATAACCGATAACAAAGTTGAACAGGCGTGCATTTAACCGATGCAGTAGATGAGCAAACAATTGAACAATGAAAGCCGGATTCACATGAGATGAATGCAAACAATCCAATATTTCACTAAGTATATCTATAGTAATATTATGCTGAAAAAAAGAGGAAAAATCTAAGAAGAAACTGAGACAAACTCACAAAACTTTACAAGTCGATAGAAAATAGTCTTCAAACAATTGCACTTTGTATAAGATAGCAGGATGATATTGAATCCTTAGATTCAGGATTGTTAAACCTCTGTGACTGCATGAATTGATTTGTTATCAGAATGAAATAAGGGGCGAAGATGTCGGTTATTCAATTTTTAATAATCCCTACACAAACACAGACTAACAGTGATGTTATGAAACTTACATTAGATCTTTTTTTATTCGAACGTGTCTAATATCAATAAAAAGGTAAGAAGGGTGGGCCAGTTACAGGGTTTTCTGTGATTATCTCCCGATAAGAGCAACTAAACATATAGAGAAGCCCAGTTACATAAGCAGAAACTATTGAGGACGATGACACATCATTTTACACCTTTACAGTCATGGAAAAATGATTTGCCGCGTAAATTGTGTTTTATTCAGTAACTGGTATTTTAAAGTTTACATTAACTTGGAGCAAATATTTAGCTTAGTCTAACAGCTTGATTATGAGAACAACTAGCACTACTCACCGACGTTTAACCTCAAGTGTACTATTTAGATAAAAAATTCCAATTTTCAAACTTTCATAAATTAAACCTCAGTATACTTTAACATCAATCACATTATCTTTGCTCCTCTCACTCACTCACTCACTCGCTCACTCACTCACTCGCTCACTCACCCACACATACACACACCCTCTTTATCTATCTATCTCAAACAGACACACGCATAGAGTTCCGGAGTCGTTTTATGGAATTAAGTATCTATCCAAAGTAGGTAGCATTAGTATTGATACGCAAATGTTTGAGAAAAAATTAGATTGTTAATATGCACTTGGAACGCATTAACTACGACAACTACTACTAAAAACTGAAATGTTGTAAGGTGAATTCCTTTTCTCTTTCTTTCACACAATAAGTCAAGGAGAAACAAGGCGAAAGAGAGAAAAATTGAGAAAAGAGTCAGTATAAATTTATTAGCTATAATAGGTATGCATGAATGGACCAAGATTGTTGACCAAAAAGAAAATAAATGAGACTGTTAAGAGAAACTTATTAGTACAACACACAAATGTGTTTGTGAGTATGCGCGTGTGATGAAGAAGGTAGAGTGTATTGTTAAACTTTCTATTACGGACTAGTCTTCAGATTAAACAGATGCGCGCCAGTAACAAAGAAAGTTTGACAAGGACAATAAAAAATGCACTAAATAACAAGAATTATGTGGCTCTAGTGTCCGGTTACAGAGTAGAAAAAAGCTCTTTGCATCCAATGAATTTAAATTATTCTATGTTTTTTTTTGGTTTTCTGGCTAAACTTTTACAAACTATTCTTTACACCATTGTATACAAAAATCAAGACAAAGAAAATAAACCCATTGTCAGACTTCATGTACTGTTGCAATGAACTTGATGTTCCACATGTTTAATCAGATACAAATTTGTATCATAATCCCTTAGTTTTTCTAATAACGTCTACTAACAAAAAGTTTGAAACCACAAATGATACCGCATAGTGCAACAGTTCAGCTTGCCACAGAACAGAAGAAACCCCACTAAAACACTACCGTTTAAGAAAACACAAACAACCGGAACAGAATAATGAGTAAAATACATTTTGTTTGGAAAGAATAGAAGCAGATTTCAGTTGGCACTATTTAGCTGTTTTTCACTAGAGGGTCTCATCACTTCACAGACTTCATATTATGCAAGAGAAATTAAACTACACTTGGATTATATCACCTGTTCTTTCAATCTCCTACCAACCAGGATGTGAGCCCAACTAGTTGTGCAAGAGATGACAGTACTAACCAGTTACGAGATACAGGCTGAAGTAGGCAGAGAGGTTTTTGTGTAACCAGTAGCCATTAGCTTAGAGACGAATGCTTAAGCAGATGAGTCACACTGTATCATTTTGAAGATTGTTTTCATTTACTGCAAGCATAAACATCGACTCTTTATAACAAAATATGCATTGTTTGACAATGACTGTGTCTTATATGTGAATACTAACTTTTTAAATCCCTAGGCTTTATAATTTAAAGTTGCAGTTTACTTCGTATTCGACAATTCTTTTATATTACACTAATAATCCTGAAATCGGCAATTTTTCATGCTATCCACCTGAATGAAGTACTGCTTGCAGCCAACAGATAAAAGTGAGGACAATAAAGGCGTGTAACCTTAATGCTTAGTGAAAAAGTAATGGCTGATTCTGCCTCAGTAGTTGAACAGCTGATTTTCATTCAACCAGCGGACTGCAGAACTGCAATTTACCACTAATCAAGATGTATCGCAACGGCCCAGAAAGATGTTTAATGCATCCTACTTCAAAAACTTGCATGTAGCTGTTGGACAGAAGCATAATTACTATTTACAAAAGAATAATATTGTGAAAAACTGCAACTCACTTTTCTACTGGATATTTCACTTTGCTTACAATGATCATGAAAAGTTGCCGACATATCATCTTCTCCGTCTATTGCAGAAGTATTATTTGATTGTATTTTACACGTGACTTCAGCACTTTCTGTACAATTTACTGTCTTCTTATAACTACTGAGATGTTGATGAGTATCAGACAAACTTTTCACACATTCAGTTAAATAAATCAAAAGTTGAGGAATAGCGATTAAATCTAAACAAAGAACACAGAGATCAGCTAGGTAAACAAAAGCAGTTTGAACAATCTCAGCTAACTGTTCCTTCAATTGATCCCATTGAGCTGCAGCATTCAACATTTTCTCATTATTAGTAGAACTTCTTTTCGACTCAAAAGTTTCAATGACTGGAGACTGGAGTGTTTAAGAAAAGTAAACAGAATAAAGAAAGCATAGTTTGCCTAAAATACGTAAGATGAGTGAAAAACTGAGTAAAAAGAGAGTGATGATAAATCTTAAAAAACAGAACAAAACATTAAAGCACTTCATTCCCTATAGTAGGGTTTTCTCTACAACCAACCAAATTGTATAATGCAGTTGCAAAGGTTTTTGAGTCACATAGCTAAGCGAGCAGATGGAATGTGAGTACAGCTGTCATTCTTTGTAACAGAAGCAGTGTGGAAGGGAATTTGTGGTGAAATAGTGAATAGGTAAAATGACACTAACAGTCGTTAATAGTGGGATCCAGAGCCTGTTTTAGTCCTGTTTGGGGCTCGAAGGCTGATGAATGATGGTGTTGGCCCTGGGACTCGAACCCAACTTACAAACTAGCTCTCAGTATGGAGGTTTCGACGATGTCTTGAGATAGATGAGTATTGATCTAGTGAAAAATGCTCCACTGTTTGACGTGATGGATGCCAAGTTCGATTTAGGCATGAAAAACCGTCGGTGTCCATACTAGGCGTCAACATGGCAAAATAAAGACTGAGCATTTCGTCCCAGTATAATAAATCAGCAGGAAAGCTTAAATTTCACTGGCTACAAGAGGCCATGAAATTATGTACACTATTCCATTCAATATTCACCCACTTATGACGCGGACACTCGACAGTACCGTCATAAAATCTCAAGGGAATTTACCAATCTTCATGTAAATAAAATAGGTCCATAAAGTTCATGTGAAATTACGAGCTATTCGGAAGCACGAAGATATTTAACTATGTTTAACTCAATACAGCTTTAAAAATCAACTGCAAAGTGATTGTATTAAGGTCGGTAGTGAAATTGTCGATAATAATTAAGTAATCAACTAATTACTTTATTATTATTGATAATAAAATAATAAATAATTAAAAATATATTCCCAAATAACCATTATCACAAATAGATCATATAGTTTGATGATCAGTCTGTAAGGTCATGAACTTTTCTTAATTATTCCACCATAATATAAGTTGATTTAGAATGAACATATCCGGTATTGTTATTGCTAAATTTTACAAGTACGCTTAACAAACTATTCTGTTAGATGTGTGATTCGAAAATGTGGAGGGCAAGCAATGCAACAAATCCATTTCAAAACTGCAGTAGTGTTTTCAGTTTATAAATGGAAAACAAATATATAAATACAATACCGTTTTTGTATGAGAAAATAATGATCATTTCAAAATGAAAAACAAGAATAATTAAAAAATACCTTGAAAGCTGCATTCAAGTCAACATCACAGGTGATAAGGTGGAGCAATTGACTTGAATTAGCCAACCAGACAGTGACTGATTTGATTAAACTAATAAATTTAAAGTTCAATCTATTGTCCTTTTCATTTGATTGCTGTGGTGACGACGGCATTCTAGTCTGGTGACAATTTGACTTAAGACATGTGACTGAATTGCTTAAATCAATACTTTTGATAGATTCACTGACGTATACTTCAAAGTTTTGATAGCGATCAAGAGCACTTACCAACAGTGCTAATAACTGGCGTTGTCTACGCTTAGACTGATTTAAAGTCAACTCTGAAAGGCTTGTTACCTGTACAAAAGACAGGGTAAAGAGAACAAAATCTTCAATCAAATACAAAACAGTAATCTTTCATACAGTAATAATCTAAATGTTGAAACTAATGTGTGAGAAATGTGTTAATCAGTAACAGTTTCCAATAAATAGAGCAAGCCAGTTGAAGAGAGTAAAAGCTAACTCTGAGTAAACACAATTTTCTCCAAAATAGAATTATTGTTGACTTCCTCTATTTTTCACTTAAATAATCAAGTCAGGTTAAAAAGCTTTATGGCTGAACATTGCGTGTTAATATCACTCAACATGAAATATGAGCATTAATGCATGAATTAAGAATGCGTACAATGATTAACGATCTATCCAAAAGAAGTGTCAACCACCACACGATGCTGAAGCAATTAAAGGATACAATATTCACAGGATTTTTTCTGAGTAGAAAAAAAAGTGACACGATTACTTCAGAGTACTGCAATAAACAGATGACTCAGTGTGACAATATATCGACGATAATATGATTTTTAGTAAGAAACAGAACTGACCGTCACACGATAATTGAACAAGACAAAGGGAGTGAAAGCAATGTGATTTTTTAACACTACAAATAATATAGAGGTTTGGGGTAGAATTCCTGCCTTCGCCTACACCAATTTATCTCCATAGCTTAAAGTACAAACTATTTAGGCAACAGTTATTAGTTTTAAGTATGGCCACCTGACTGACAGTAATCAGATAAGATGTAGTTCATTATGATATAAGATATATTATTGTAAACCGACAATCTTCGAAGAAATTTTTCGATCTGAAAAAGAGTTCAGTTGATTTGGGGTGCACATTTTCTTGCTAATGAATTTCGAATGGACTTCCGAGTTATCAATACATTCAACACAGATTTCTGTGTGATGCATTACCGAAACATCCCGAAAATTTTATGATTGGTTTCCACATAATATTCAATCATCAATTTCACTATTTCCAAACCTTTCTCAAACCAATTGTGAAGTGGCGTTAGAATGAAAAACGTTAAAATGCATTTGACACACAAGGCTAACATTACAAATATTTGTCTTCCTAAATTATTTGTCCACATTCAATGAAAAGAAAACACACTAGAAATATGATACTTATGTTTATATACTAAAGCAAAGTAGCAATTTTGAAAGTCCTTCATCATCAATAATACTTACCGAGGAACGATTAACATGAGAAGAAACATTTTCTGGATTATTTGATGCAGCAACGTCAGTACTTCCTTTCGATGAACTTTTTGCCAGCTGTTTGAATTCAATAGCTTCCCAACGATCACATTGTCGACAAATTGCTCGAAGCATTAGGTAAACCGACATAGCTGGACCCAAAGGACACAGATCGATAGTTACGTCGGATTGAATGCCAGTAGCAGGTGTACTACCAGTTTGGTATGCATATTTAAGTTGTTTAATAATAATCCAATCTAGTAGTTGTTCTAAAGTTATTGGAGCAAAGGCCATTTGACAAGGTAACCGGTCAGAGACAGATTTTGTCCTATTGGAACTCCCCTTTGTGTAAGTGTGATCGTCTTTCGTCAGAGATGAACAGTGCGAATGATTAGGCGAAAATATATGCTCTGTAAAAACACAAAAGTTTTTCATATTATGACGCATGTATAAAGAAAGAAGGATGCATTATTGACAGTCAGAATATAGCTTCAATGCTTTGCCAACACTAAACTGCTTCACTTTATTTGCTAGGTATTGAATCAAGAATTTTATGTCAGTCCCTAAGGTGAACAATCGAATATTCTGATTAAGGTAAAATCCTACCGATATGCACACTTCTTTGCCGCTATTCTTTTTAAAATAATGGAAGTATATAAAATGCAAAATCAACTTATTAAAAAACCCAAACTACATTTGTAATTCATTTCAAAAAGATACACAAGTGAAGATCAGTGTTAGCTCCCATAGAATGGTCATCAGATAACAGCATAGATGAACAAAGCCAATAAATTCAATGCTGATGCCTTGAACTTTCGCATGCTTCTAGCTAAGATCTATTCGGTTAACCATATAGTCAAAAACAGTTATCACAGAAAGGTAAACCAAACGGTTTGACTCTGACTATTTCAATGAAAGAAAATGTTGATAATAGTCAAATTAGCCCAATCACATGTGTGTTAAAGATTTGCTTTGAAACACTAAATTCAACTTACAGTATGAGTATCATTGTCAGATAAGCACAGTATATCTTCTTCATAAGATACTACTTCTGTAACGGTAGAAGACGACAGACTTGGTAAAGGAATGTTTATTTAGAATTTGTTACCGTTATATATATCAAAACTATGTACACCTTAGCTTCAAATCACCGTTTGCAAACATCTTCCGTGTTGTACTAATTCTGTCCTTCATATTGTCTTTCTTTCACGTCTCTCAAGTATCTCCGCAACACTGAATCATTTGCTTTCTCTGACGTCAAATCTATCTCCCTACTATTTGATTTTTCTATGCCAACGAACGTGTCTTTATATGCTACAGGTAAATCTTATCAGTAGCACACACCACACTTCTAGCAAATGCTTCTTCATTATAATGGTGAGTATGCATTCATCAAAGCGATTTAAAAATTAAGAAAAACAACTTAACAATACCTCGAAAGAAACTGAGAACCAATGAGCCCAACTAGTTTAAGATATTTGATCAATGTTTACCCACTATCTGATAATGTATCAAATGCGGGAAAATCAAAATGAGGAGAAAGCCTATAGTTCAATGTCTGTATCACACAATTCAGTTGGTTGTGCTTTTCAAAATGCTGCCAATTTACCACTTTATTTTTAATGATTTTACAGATTACAATGGTTTATAAAGAAATTTATCACTCAATTCTATAAAATTATCCAAAAGTCCGACAACGCATTATTCACCTGACTTTAGAAACGGTTTTACGACTTGTACCTTTGTATCGTTTTTATGGAGAAGAATAAATTGCCTAGTGGTGTATAATGTGATAAATTCCTTTAAGTCAGTGTTATTTCATTTTTGTATTTCAAAGGATGAAATAAAATAGACCAAAAGTGTTCTTTTTTTATGGTATAATAGTAATAATAATAAACATCGCCTTAAATAGTAAAAACAGATAGTCATTTGAACACTCTCAGGAGTATAGAGATGACTTTTCACTAACAAAATGACTTCAACAAACAGTAATCCAATTTACCTGCTAAAAAAATTCCAGTACAAAAAATAATAATGAAGATATACGCACCAGGTACTAAAAACACCGCAGATAACAAATACAATGATGGAAAACTTACCAGAAGAAAGCGAATTATTCAAATGTGACTGAGTATCCACAAGGGAAGAGATATTAAGCTTTTGACTGGGTGCAGAAACAGAGTTATCACCTTGTCTGAATGATGGTGGCGATTGACAAACGGTACTACGAGAGCAGTCATGTTCACTATTTCGGCTTGATGTACGAAAACCTTCCTCCATGCACGATTTTTTATTAATGGGAGTAGTTGTAGTTATAGTAGTACTTGTTGTAGCAACAGCAGTAGTAGTGGTAGTAGTAGTAGTATTACTCTTGTTACTGACACAATTCAATGACTGTGTGAAATTTGTGTTTGTATACGCTTCCATTCGATGGTGTTGTTGCCCACTCAACTCTGTGGGTGATAGCACTTTTAATGAAGAAGTAGTTGAATCACTGGAGACTGTTTCAGACGCAGAAGTACACGATGACAGTGATGATGATGAAGAATCACAAATAGAATTTGGATTAGCCAATGGACATAATCCATTCGACAGATTATTCTGTAAAAGAAAATTCAAAAGCTAATAAGAAATTGTTATTTATATTTAACCAAAAAATTACAATAAATTATGCCAAATGGTTGTATAGCACGACCTGTCCGTATAGCTGTTGAAACATAAAATGTAACAGTTTTACTAATTAAGTGCAAATATCAAACGACAATAAGTCATCTGAGGTGATAACAAACAGTAGTGTATTTCAGGGATATCCACTGTCAAAAATCTTATTTTAATGTAATGTAGACATATTATTATCAACTTTTGAAAAATTAATTCGCCAACAAGAGAAAGTCTGGCGGATGATTTAGAGTAAGCAAACAACAGAATGCAATTCGACAAAGATACAAACAAAATTCAGAGGGTTCTAAAAACACTGAGTTGAAATCTAAATCTGTTTGGAATACATATCGCTTTTGTTGAATGCAAGATAATCCAAAAGAATTGACCACTAATTTGAGAATAGGCAGTAAAATGGTCGACTACTTCACGTACTGGTGAAGTTATGCTAACGCTGAAGGGTTGGCTTCTGATGAACGTTTCTGCACGGGTAAAAAAGGTTCATCCAGCATTTGCTAAACAGGATTATCTCTTGTGTATATGTGACATACAGTCCCTGATCAAAGGACGTGTGTACTGCACAGTAGTTCACTCCGAGCTTCTTTACGGCTATGAGACATGCACAGATAAGCTGTTCTCACCGCAGATGTTATTGTTTTATCTTTCGTGTTAGGTAGAGTGATATGTTTAATAATTATAACATAGAAATAGGAGGGCTAGGTTAGGAGTAAAAGTCGATCAATGAGACTGAAGTTCTGCTGATTGAGGTAAATGGAACATGTGTTGCGAACAAAAAGCCATCACCTTTCTTGATGAACGATATTAGCTAGCATAGGACTAAACTGGAAACCAATAAGTTTTGATAACAACAAAACAGCGACAATTCATGAAGTTTTTAAACTTTTGATCTGACATAAGTGCTTGAGATGTTAAGAACCAACTGTTGCAGAATTTTTGTGCCCATTCAGTAATATTTTGACACTGATTATTAAGTTTCTAAAATGTGGTGTTCTCAAGGAAACGGAAAATATCTGATGAGTAGATACGAAAAAGGGAAGCTGGAAAACGCCGATTACATACCACTCAGTTTGATGGTAAACAAAAATCGAACGGATATGCAGCTCTTGATAATACTTCGTTGTCTTGCGAGTTAAACTTTATTTAATTAATTGAGAGACTATTTGAAATAGTCTTGAGTAGGCAGATTACTAATGACGTGATCAGAAATCGATGATTTAGATTATATTCACAAGACAGATTGCCCACATCAGTATTCTAAACAAACACATCCTAACAATCGAAAATAAAAAAAACCTCATCTAAATTACTTGTTAAGTAAAGGAAACTATTGTATCACATGATATGATATGAGCCTATAGCCTAATGGCCTAAGTCCCGGACTTTCGGTCAGTCGACCTTGGTTTGCAGTCCCAATACCTGTCTAAGCATAGGCAACTGGTTGGTATCATTAACTTCTATACACAATACTTATCGCCTTTTATATGAGAAATCGGTTTCAGGTAACTGAGGTAAAATTAACTGTGCAACTTTTTATCAATAAATAGGTCATCGCTTACATTTCGAATTACGATTAGTAATGTAGACACTGAGGCTACGCATTGTATGGAAAGAAGCTCTTCAGCATTATAAATAAGCTTTATCTACACTCAGTTTCCCCTGAAGCTATTGATACTACTCAACTGTATAGGCCATGAAAGATGAAAGAGAATCGAAATCAAGAAAGCCTTTAAGTGAAATTCTTGTCCTTCAGATTTGAACAACATGTTATAAACACCAGTTTGAAAGCATTTCATTTAATTGACTCTTTTTTCTGATCGTTATCAGACTAATAGCAGTAGCTTCCCGCGTTCATTTCACACTCCACTATACATAATTTAGCAATGTTTTTTTCACTTTAAATAAACAAAGATAAAATTCACTCTTATCAATTTTCTTGTCACGTCCTTATACTTTCCTGAGAGTAATAGTGAATCATAATGGGAATAATAATAATAATAATATTAATAATAATACTGCGTTCACGTTGACTAGATATGTGTATATGAAGACATTATGCGAAATGATTTTGGAAAAGAGACCGAGGGAGGGGGAGAGAAGGATAAGAAAGGTGCGACGTTTATTTTAAAAAAGAAGGAGAAAGCTGATCATTTTTTTCATATATTTAAGTGACGAAGTAGGCGATTTGGATCTGAAATCGATTTTTGAATAAACAGGTGAAAAGACAGGAGAGAGAGAGAGACAAAGACGATTTATGGAATACTGATGATAGTAGTAAAAACGATATTAACGGTGATAACACACAATGAATGATGAGATGAGAAAAGTCAGGAAAAAAAGATTATAACTATAAGGTTGGATGAACAGATGCTATACATAAGGCATCAGCAAAAGCGTAACTGCTAAAAATCAATTTGGCTAGCCTAAATAACTTCATTTCCATTGCATGCAAGTACAGAAAAGGGGGAGTGGAGCTAGTATAACTGACTGACATTAGTCTCTCTCTCTCTCTCTCTCTCTCTCTCTCTCTATATATATATATATATATATATATATATATATAGTATATCCAGACCAATAATTCATATTGTTAAAAATATACTAAATATTCAGCTTAATGTTATATGCATAACAATAAACAATTTTTCTGCAGATGGCCATCGCCTTGGCATCCATATTTTAGTAATATGATGCTGTTGATTTTAATGTATAATCTTTGCAAACTTACGATTCATATGAACAATGTGTTTTGCCATAGACATGGCTGATAGTCTCCCAACTATGTTTATCGAAGTTTCGTAGTTCTATCATTTTTTAGGCTATTTGAGTAAATGTTTTCCCACTCTTGTTTGGACGAGAAAGTTCATACACTTTACAATATACGACAGACTTGGTTAAGAGCTTATTCAAGACGATTCAAACACCAAGACCCAGTAACAGCAAATGCTATGAAACTGGATTCACGAAGTTGCTAGCTGAAGGGTCAACTCATCCAACTGACAACCACGAGCACACTAAGAGTGCCGCTTGTGTGTGTGGGTTGAAAGGAGCTCGGTGAAATGAATGAAAACGGATAACCGTTTGCAGCCGCGTGTGCATTTAGTGGTTTCGTGATTGGAGTCAGTATATACAAGGTGACTTGGATTCCACCAGATAGACTTAATCTCAATCTCAAGAAAGTGCAATTCCACCATACTGGATACACGATCAAAAAGAGAAGCAGATGTAGGATTAGATCATTAATCCCTGTAAGGTAACTTCAAGATCAAGTTGAAAGCTTTTATAGAAGAAAGAGATACACCACAATTAAAGTTCAACATCCAGAAACTGAAGCACAAATCTACAAAAGGTATTTTCAGTGTAGACATCAGGAAGATGTCGGAGACGTAAGACAACACCAACAAGGAAAAGAGTGGAAGTGCACTGGAAATCTCTGAAGGAGAATTAAAAGGGAACTTATGAAAACAATTTAGACAAAAAGAAGAGGCTAGAAAAGGAATGGCTTTCTATGGAGATCTAGAAGCTGGTAGAGATAAAGGAGGATGGAGAAACAGAAAACGAACGATGAAAGGAGGAGCTAAGTATAATCTACAGGGACGGAGAAAACTCAAGCCTGATAACTTTAAAGAATTCTGGAATCGACAGTTACTTGCGGACACAGAAATACAAGTATGCACCAACCCTCCAACAAAAAAGGAAGTCTTTAAGGTAGCACAGTTACCAGAAGTCAGTCGGGGAAGCACTTGGACTGGGTTAAATCCCGCAGAAGCACTGAAAACAAACCCAGGGACCTAAGCAGACATCTTTACTCCTCTGCTACAAGTGGTGCGTTAAGAAAGGAAGGTTCTTACCGATTAGGAGGAAGGGTACGTTCTCAAGGTGACTGTGCAAGAACATAGGGAAGACAGTGGCGATAAAAATACTCAAAAGTAAACAATAACAAACAACAATAGGCATCATTGGGAGAAGTCTAGAGGAATTGATATCACTTACTCAAGTGATCTAGGCAGTAACGTTTCAGCTACATGTTGCACGCATAAAGATACTTAAGTTAACTATGACCAGATCGACAAAGCAAGACAGGTATCCACTACACTTAAATCAATCTGGAGATCAGCAGCAATGACCACAAGGAAAAAGATCTGAATTTTTTAACACTGACTTCAAGTCAGTCAGTGATTGTATGTGGTTCACAGACTTGGTGTGCATATCACCAGAAGCATTTCCAACAGCACGCTTCAGACTTTTATCAACCGACGTCTTAGCTCGATACCGAATAACAGACATCCTATCAGAAATTATAAGTAACGAAGAACGCTGGCAGTGCATTGAACTAGCCAAGAACCTATTTACCCAACAAATACACAAAAGGAAACGGAGATGAATTGGACATACACTGATGAGACTGTAAAGTGGCATCACATGCCAAACTGTCTAGTGGAAATAAAACAATGAATCATTGCCCAATGAAACATTTGGTCACTTCTGTTACTTAATGAATAATTTTAGTAATTACTATTGTTTGAAGTACACAGGCAACATTATTATCACTGTTACTAGTTGTCCTCTGAGAATATTTTCTTCAGGAATGAGTAATATTCTGGTCTTACGGTAACAATCAATCACAAAATCTTTCGGTAGACACACAACTTTTGAACTTAAGTGAAATATTCTATTCTTGAGCACATTAAATAATCATTCGGTTGTGATAGAGCAATAGCATGTTCAGAAATTAGGGAAAATACACTGATACTCAACATGAAACGCAACCGATAATTCAATGATAAGTGCATTGAAAATGTAATTTTATGGTGAGTAGTAAATACCAACTTCAAGTTAGTAATATCCTCCACATTTAATTAAACATAAATTACAAGATAAAAATAACTTGAGCCACAGAATGCAACCATGATGATTTATTTGCTACAATTACCTGTTTTCCTTTGGTAAGAGATAACTTCATTAGCCTTTCAGAACACTTCAAATCATCTGGATACATGGCTTGAGACATAACCCTTTCAGGAGAAAAGGTGTTAATATGAGGAAGAACATTCAAGTAGGCAGAAAAGCTCGTACACTGGGGTGATACGTTGCTATTGGTCAGAGTAGTATCATTTAACGCATACAGATTGCTGATTCCTACAATTGTAGGTGACTCAGGAATTCTGCAATTCTGAGCAAGATCGTCGTGAATGTCCTTACTGCTGACATCATGCATTTGTGGGGTGTGTAATCCAGTAGGTATATGTGACTGCAGCTCTAAATACGACCAGACTTTGAGCTGTCGTGCTCCCTTCCCAAGACGAAGTACATCACCAGACTTCAACCAAAACACTGTCTCTTGATAATTTGAAGTCAGTGGAATTGTCAATAGATGGTTGTTAAGATATACTTCAGTAATTTTATGAGTTGAGTTCTGACTGTTAACATTATTATTTCTAGAGGATGCAAGTAAACATGGACGACAAGCTAACCATCCTTCAGACGTCTTCTTGTTTTTATCAACTGCAATTTTCGGTAGCCAAAACATAATATGATACGTTTCAATATCTGGCCATTTGGAGCTTGGTAAACACACCATGTTAGGTGAGTGTAATTTATCTGAGGCTGTAGCGGTCCCGACATACACCTGTAGTGCGAAAATTTCAAAATTAAAGATGATATCACTGTTTATACAGTTTATATGAGGTGCATATATATATATATATATACATATATATATATATATGATTCATCAGAATGCATGAAAATGAAACGAAAGGGAATAGAGCATAGAACAGTCTGAGATATTTTACAATTCAACATAGGTGAATCGATTAGAAGACATGGAGGAAACTTACTACGACAGACAGTGAGGGGAAAAAATAAAATTGAACAAAGACCTTAAACGTTTTTGATTTTCAAATAAAAACAACTCTAATGACTTCTAAGACAAATAAAACAAAACGTTGAACACAGAGTATTTAAGGTAAACACCCATTACAGTAGTGTAATATTAATAATAGTAGTAGTAGTAATAATAAGAATGCTAGTAACGCGTACATAATTAGTAAAATGCAGAGAACACTTATAAGGTCAGTTAGTGAAGACAATAAGCAAAGGTGGTGAGCACATAAGTCACTTCACCTTAAAGTTGCCTTAAGCACATGTAAATAAAGTCTACTCAATTAAAAAAATATAAAAGAAAAAAGGATGAACTCATTCGCTACTGCTGTAGAGAATAAAGAGGCATACAAGGCTTTATAAACGATGGTTACAACACCATTGTCTCTATCCTATTAATGCAATTAAAGTGAGCAGTTTCTTTTGTCTTAGATTTTCCTCTCTCTCTCTCTCATTTTTATTTTTGGTTACAGCTTGATGCCACACCATATTTTCAGTACAAGTATGGAATTTTCAGCATGGATATCGGTAGCCCAAATTTTGCAGGCCGACCATAGATATCGGTTGTGCGTCGGCAGGGGATCGAACCCCGGACCATGTGCATGGTCGGCGAGGGTCATAACCAATGTGCCACCGACGCACCACCAGGTTGATCGATTTACACTCAACAGTTTGTTTAGCAATTCAACTATATAGTAAAATAATATTAATAGTACTGAGAAGGTTGAAGAGTGAGACTCAAGCTTACTGCGATTTTTATTTGAGGTTGAAAAACGTCAACTCCACCGTCTACGTACATGAATATTTTTCTAATCAAGAAATCATGTAAATAGCCTATTATCTTGTGATGCAAAATATGTTCGTTTCCTTTTCTATCCATAACACAAAATCAAGTAACTCTACAACATAGTGAATAGTATTGCATCTGAAAATGTAGACTTTGCTGTGGGGGGTTTTGAAGAACACACCGATCAAAAGAGGGGAGAAAAAACAAAGTGCCTTATCAACTAACCATCTCCGACGAACCAACATCATGAAATACCGATACTGTCTGATTATTATCTTATAATGTCTTGCACTCTCCCACTGGTGATACTTTTTCTTTCCACCTGCTCTTCTTTATTTTTCCTTCAGAAGTCATTTTCACTTAAAAGTCTAACCTTTCTGCTATTCCCGCTTTTATTTTATCAATATAGTAAGTGACAACTTGAAGTGGTACTTAATTAGGGAATATAACATATTTAATCCAGATTTTGTCACAAACAACCAAAAGTTAAGGAATCCTTGAAAATCAAAGAGCAATGAACAGTTGTTTTATCCTAGTTCAGAATCCTTCAATAGTATGAGAGCACCATTGAAACAGAGATCAAGTCCAAGAGCTTCAGGAGGTTATAAGGTGAGTTTATTACCACTCAGCTGATGGGCTGGAAACAAAGCCACAGCAACTGTCTAGCGAATTGACACATACATTAGATTTCATACGACTTTGGGTTTCAACTCATTGCCTGAATGGTAAACGTGTCGCATTCATTTCATTTCACATTCAACCATCACGCATTATATTGATAGTAGTCTACTAAAAACACATCATTACAGATAATTCTACCATAAATATGTTTGTGTTCTTCTCATACTATAAAAATGAATGACATACTCAAACAAATGAAATATGAGTATTCGTGGTCAACGAATTTCCCATTCGAAGTTAAGGGATACTGCATAAGAGTCATATACAAATTGATATACACAGCAGAATATAATTCTGTAATAAATACAAAAGTAAGTCACGTTAATTGGTAGCCGACACAGAAGCCGCATTTAAGGTCCTAATTGGAGTTCATTGACCATATGTACAATGGATACCCAAATCATAGTCTTACACAGGCTTTTTAGACTGAAACCGTGTACACACAGCACAATCTAACAGACAGGATATAGATAATTATATTTTCTCGGCAAAAAGTGATGCATGTTCGCATCCCTGAAGGCCGGATTGATTGTTTTCTTGTCAACGCTGCGGAAATGCATTGATAAAGAGTAACGATAAAAACATGACATCAGTCTTTACGGCTTCCTGATAGTTTAACCGACTAAAACTGAAAATGAAATAAGAATCAGAAATCCTAAATCCAAAACAAAAATCGAATGAAAGGGAAAATTTTGTTAATGTCTAATCAAGGGGAAAAATAGTTGGATAGTGGACAGCTAATCAACGATAGTAACAAAATAAAGCTAATTAATGTATGCAACAGGAAGTCATCTGGCGCATCCAATGTGATAGTCAGTAGGAGAATTGTTATGTTTGATTTTTTTTCAGAAAAAAAATGTAACTAAACAATCATATACTCATACATTCGACTATAAAATACAAATTATATGAGGATTATTAGCATAGACAAGTTTCCTGTATAAAAAAAAAAAGAAACCAGTAACAGTTACTGTTTCATCCGGTGAAATAAAAGCGTCAACAACTATTAGGAAACAATTCCGTACACTGCATGCTGATTCTATGAAGCACACCGAAATATGAATTCCAGTAAGGCTGGAAAAAACCACTGGTAGACTGTAAATAATATCAACTGAATTTGACACTGTACTCACTGACCATTTCAAACATTAGATAGGATGATAAGACATGATTTGCTTACTGCAGCAATATTCACTTAATCATATTTCATCATCGAATATTGTGGGATGAGATCTCTCTGAAACTAATGATACCAAGGATGTACACAAATATAATATAGGTAGGCATTAACAACTTGCAGCGTTTGAATACTTCAAATCCATTTAATGAAAATTCCTTCTGTGACCGAAATGTCGAAATGTTTCGTTTTCTTCTAACACTATGGATGAGTAGATTTAATAAAATGTTTAATCTATCAGTAAAAGTATCAACGGAAAGTATGAGTGGATACTCCAGAACATTTTCAACTTTACACTCATAGTGCCCTCACAGTATTCACCTCGATCAACATCACTGAGAAAGATTTGACCGGACAATTGTCTACAGGCTTAATGTTTATAAATCCACTAACATTATCGTACAATGGCAAGGTAAAACAACATGATAGTCATTTCAGACACAATAGTCAAGTGAAAACAGTTTTTAGCTCAAACAGCATTTTGTTGTGAACATAGTAATCTGATGGGAATACAACTTTGCATCCCAGTGAAAGTTTATGCACAAAGTTAACAACTGCACATCTCCTAAATGTGACTTCTGATGGCCAACTTGTATACATTTTTACAGATAGAGGAAGCTTTCTACTTGCAATGTAGTGGTTGAATGTTGACCACGTAGAAAACCATCTGCAGTCCATGATGATATGAACAAACTCGATTCACCGGGAGATCGAACTTATAAAAGAATGAAAAATATTCTACTCTGGCAAAATAGATGCCTGCTTTGAAAGGTACACAGTAAAATACATAACGGTAAAAAAATTTTTTTAAAACCATCAATCATACACATAATATCAAATACATGTAAAAAAAAAGGTGATAGTGGTACGCTCTATGTAAGATAATTAATGTGTGAACCGAACGCATCTGTACTGTTTCAAGTACTCATTAAGCTAAATGTCAGAGTGGAAACTATAACCAGTGAGAATTCCAGTTTCTACACAAGCATTGAAACGGTCGAAATGAACAGCTTTTCTGTCTTCCTTTCTTTCTTATGCATTTACATACATACACACACATGTTAGTGTTTCTGTACCATTTATGTAATTTTTATTGATGTTAAATACACTTCATATTTTCTGAATCCCTTTGCTCTCTCTCTCTCTCTCCTTCTATGCTTAACCATGTGATCTGCTAGAAATTGATTGAAGTTTATTATATTGCCCAGCATAGTGGAGAAAATAAACAAAAAGCTTTCAATATGAACTAAGATGATGAGGAAGGAAGAGATATGGTTTATATATATATATATATATATATATATATATATATATAAACATAGGCTGTCTTTCATGGTGTCAAATGTGGATTGTAAGGTGCACACCTCGTGATTATTATTACTATCAATAATTTACTGGTCTTTATGTCGTTATTCTGCATATAAAATTTAAATAATGCAGTAAAACTTATAAGCATAAATTATGAAACTACACATAAACATACTGACATCATAATGAGAAATGATTGATCTATGATAAAATCTGGTCGAAATATAGAAAATATAATCTTGTAGACAAAATTGTATGGTTACATGGTTGATTCAAACGTAACTTTCCAGGCCAAAGGCATAAAGATGAATGGACAACCCTGTTTTGATGGTAGACTTCGTCGGCAAAATGGCATTGGTTTCCTTTGTGACTCTTCAGTAGTGCACAAGATCTCCAGGTTACAACAAGACGAGTCTGTTCACTGTGCAACAGCTAGGTTGGAGTCTAATAACCTGCGAATTCAAATCTTCGACAATTCGTGATATGGTGCTACCGCCAACTAATGCCATCGACAAGTATCTATCTATCCTTAAACCATACTTGGTGATTCCTACAGGTAAAAAAAACTCATTACAACTGTGGAAAGACCATCCTGTAGTCGATCACTAGTACATTAATCTTTGGGTGTGAAGATGTCAAGAATTTGATTGATTTCAAGAGGTCGGTTTGCGACGACACCCACCTTGAGATCATTGATATAAGAATAAAACTTGGGCACTGTGGTAGAGTGTAATTCCATTATGGGTAAATTTTATTTTGATAGAGTCTCACAGTGTTATACAGTAATATTTAC